TTTTACTATGTACACAAAAGATAGATAAAATAAATCTATTTAAAATAGAAATGTACTGTTCATTTTTTGCCTTCAAATTAACATTTATAATAATCTAATTTCTGTTTTATATAGGTGAAGGGCTTGTTTACCCATGACTTCATGGATGGGAAATCTTCAATGGTTATCTTTCCCCAGTGTGGTATTGACATCTTGTTTTGGACATCTTTTCTGCCTCTTCGCAACTTCAGTTGCTATCAGGAGTCGACAACTAGACCATGGATCAGTTATTGTTACATTGTAGATCCACTAATGAAGGTTTGCGACAGCTTTTATATGCCACTATGGAGAAACATTTCAAACATAAAACGGAGTTAAAAAAACCAGAATAGGATATATCTAATCAAAGATGATCGGGTAAATTTGCTTTAAATTATGCTAATAATAAGTATCTTTACTTTTTCATGAAAGCATTTATGAATTGCATTTAATCCTTGTTCATGTTTTACATTATTTGTTAATCAGGTGTGTAGCTGCCATATAATCAATAAGCAGTTACATGCACCGCAAACATTCTCCAGTTCACTAGTTCACTTGTATTTATTGTGTTGTATACATGCATGCAACAAACAAATAAATATTTGACATACTAGTGTTCATTCGTAGAAAGGAATTTTTGTTTGTCATATGCGGAGGTTTACATTTCTGCATGCTAACTATCCAAAAACACCATATTCTAGCTATTTCGGCATAGTAACACAATGTTGTTGCTAGGGTAGGGCATTTACGCATGCGCATTGGAAAAAACACCAAGAAAGAAAGCCCCAATTATCCAATATGATGATTATAACAGAAATTGGTAAATAAATTCAATTTGAAAATCTCACTTTTTATGAGACCAAAAATGACCCATAAGTCCTTTAATGTTGGTACTTTTTTAAGAGAACGAATTTTGCTTTTTTTGTCAATTATAATCAACTGGATTTCATAACGACTTTCAACAATATGCTTTGCGTATTTTGAATCTTGGGTAATAGTTCTGATTTTATTTCTGCTTAAGTCGTTTCTTTTCAACTAGGATTTTGTCAGAAATTCTGAAAAAAAGTAAACGTTGATACAATTAAACACTCACGTTTTGCTCTAAAATGCATCACAAAGCTTCTAGTTTTTAACATTTTCCGAAAGGTTAGTTTGATACTAAATTTCTATGTACACTTTTTACATGTCAGCTACTCGCCTGTGTTTGAAATGTAAAAATTTGAATAAATCTGATTGATAATTGTGTTTTGACATAACTTTGTATTTGCAGATAAAATTCTATGTGAAGGGTCAAAAGTCAAATTAAAATTCCTTTTTTGGTACAAATTCGGAAATATATTTGACAATGATCATTACAATATATCCTTCCTGAAATACAATAAGCAATGGTCGATACTCAGCATCAAATATAAAAAAGATTTTATCTAGCTTTAATTCCAATTAAACTGTTATTTATAAATTATTTTCTAGAACAGTGTTTTTTTACGAAAGCTTTTTTGTCTTTCAGCTTATTGCCCTGCAGTTCGAGAAAGAACCGTCAAAAGCATTACTTACGTCTGATAATACGAATGATACTAATTTTAGAAAAATTCGATTAGGAAATGAGTATATTAAACAAAAGCTGACTGATTTGGACAAATATAAAAAAAAAGCTCATTTTTATTTGATTTATACGTTGTCAATGAAACGTCAGATTCCAGTTTTTGGAATGAGATATGTCAAGCTGGCTGTTCCTCGGAAGAACCCTATACCGATGTTTATTGTTCTACACAATCAGGTAAGGCAACAAGAATATATTATAGCTATGACATACACAATATGGATATAGTTCGAAATGTTAAATGTTACTATGGTGCTTCTGTTGTTACTTAGCGGTTTTTTTCTGGGCCACAAAGTGAAACGACGAAATGTCATATATCGGGCACCACGCAAAAAAAATGTTTATTTGTTAATCTTTTTTATTTCCTTGGGTTGAAAACTTTTTTGTGAATTATTGAATTTAATGTTTCTTAAAATTACCTTGAAACCGATAAAACCCATATAAAACTTTGCAGGTCACCTTAGTCATAGGCCCAACTGACCTAAATGTATTCCGAAGTCACCTGTCGTCCGTCGTTGTGTTTCGTGCGGTTTGCGCCGTGCGTCGTCTGTAAACTGTTTATATTTTTGACCTCTTCTCAAGAACCAGTGGATGGAAAACTTTTTTAATTTTGTGAGATTAACCTTGGTAGAAGAGGGTACACAATTGTAAAATTTGGATTCCTTCCCCCAACCTCAGGGGCAAGGCCGGGGCCCCAAATTGAAAATTAACCAATACTTCAAATATCTTCCTATTTCGACACAAATGTACTACAGCCATTTCTCTGCATGGTTAGATTAAACAATATTTTATTTACAAATATGCAGTGCATAATATAAAATTATACAGAATGTAATGCTATGGATCTGGCAACAAGAATAGGCTCTTACATTAAGCCATCTCCCAACAATGAGAAGATTGCAGTATAACACTAACAGGTTAAATAACATCAATAATTCACCATATAATAACTTCCTTATGTCCACGATTACCCCTAACTTTGCTATGGTTTCGGCCCGAATTGTGTTACAGTTCCTACATTCAATGAGAAAGTGAGAAGTGGTTTCAATGCAACCACAGGAACACAAGCTAGTTTCTGAAACATGATTAATATATAAATGATGGTTTAATGAGCTGCATTCGAGTCGAAGCCTTGTATGAACTACCTGCATGGGCACGCCGTTTGCCGAAGTAATAGTAATCGGGTATCTTAGACTTATTCCTTTTAAGGTAACGGAGGAAACAAGATTTAATTGAGTTGTTCCTAACATGTTCAGGTATCAAATTCCATTCACGGATGGCTGTAGGAAAGAAAGAAATCATAAAAACATTGGTTCTGCTATGTGGATGATGCATATTCAAATCTGATCTTAAATTGTAACCTGGAGTGGAGCCAGTCAATGGGGGTAGGTGATTTCGTAAATAAGGGGGAGCAAGTCCATGAACTATATTGTACATAGCTTGCATCCTATGTTTATATCTCCTGTAGGACATTGATTCCCATTGGGCTTGATTAGCAAGGGATTGTGAAGACGCTGACTTGGTTGCACCTCTGCATGATTGAAAAGATCATCAAGTCTTTATCTGAATTATAAATTTCATTACCTCCCAGCCATCTGTTCTTCCTTGGGGACGGAGTACAGTTTGCCATAGTTTATATAGGGAAAGAACATTTTTGGAATAATTGTGATGATATGGAAATTAGATGATAGTGAAAAACATATCCGTCCCAACACAGGGGCTGGAGGGATGTGACTCATATGGGGAAAATAGATAAAAGTTTAAAAAAAAAAATACATCTTCTTACTCAAACTTATATGTATTACAATCGAATACCCTTAATGGATTGAAAGGTCCTTAGTTGCTTTAGCTAAATTATAAACTTCATTACCCTTGGGTCATCTGCTTTCCTTTTGGAAGGGGGTAAAATGTACTATAGTTTTTCTAGGGAATTAACACTTTTTGTATATTTTGTCTCTTCTCAGCAAGAAATTCATCACAATTGGTTGGAATAATAATAAAAAAATAGCAATGAAGTGATATGAGGAAAATTATCCTGCCTGGCCCCAGGCGACGGACAGGTGGTGCCCAAAGGGTAAATAAATTAATCTCATGGATGGAAAGGTTCTTAGGTGCATTAACTTAATTGTAAATTTCATAACCCCTATGTCATCTGCTCTCCCTTGAGGCGAGGGTAAAGTTTACTTTAGTTTTTATAGATAAATACAATTTTTGAGTATATTTTATCTATTCTCAGAAAAAAATCCCTCGAACTTTGTTGGAATAGTTATGTTGAAATTGAAATCAAATAGTATCAGAAAGTAAGGTCCTGACCTACCCCATGGGTTGGCTAAAGAGGAAAATTGGCTTAACAACAATAGATGTTAAATTTTCCAATAGTAAGATAATGTATTTAAAAGCTTTTAATATTCTTTTCCTTTGATATGACACGTATTTGTCACTTTGTTTACATGCTGACTTCCACTTCGCATCTCAACAATGAAATTAAGCAACATATAATAAAGCTCAGGTGACCATTTAAGGCCCTTTGACCTCTTTTTTGTTGTTGTATTATATTGTATCAATATTTAGGTAATTAAAAAGATATAGAATTGGCTTAACAATAAGTATTCACTAGTATGATAGTAATAATAGGTGTTTATTCAATTTATAAAAAATGGGGGGGGGGGGATTCTCATCTGAGAGTCGCACCATTTCCATTCATGGTTTCCCAGTCCTTTTTATTCCATCAATATAAATGAATAAAAGTCACTATTATTTATTCATATGTATGCCTTTTTTTAAAACAAAATGACGTGTAAGATGAAACATATTTGTTTTAAATTAAATTAAATATTCTTATCGTTTTAGAAATGTCTCAATTCAAGAACGTATTAAGTGTATTTATAAGGATATCTATGATCTAAAAATTAATAAAGATTATATGACAATATTTTAATAATATTTGCAAATATTTCATTCCGATATTTAGAAGATGTTAAATACTAAAGATATATCGAATAATGTATAAAATATTTAGAGGGAATATTTAAGGATTTCCCGTTGAATACCTTATATATTTGAGGAGTGTGGTAGAATAACGCTATGTTTACGCGATTACGAAGTGCGAATGAAAATATCCGTATATTCTACCATACGAGTAAAATACATGTAGCTGTGATAATTAATGGGCAAACCATAAAATTGTCTATTAATTATATTTTAAAGTAATACAATCCTAATATGGACGCATAAAAAACGCGGGCATTAGTAGCGTAATTTGATGCCAAGTTCAAATGAAGACACGCATGACAACAAGGTAAAGTGCCATTGTGAATGGGTTACTCAACGCAACTCTGCCGTTTGCTATCTAGTAAGATTTTCGAAGAAATGAAACCAATAAGGTAGTTATGTGTACCATACTGTATATTGCAAAGGTGTACACAAGCAGCCACTTATTGTGGCAGCGCTCTGACTGAAATTTAAATTTTAATATCTACGCAGTGAATAGATAGTACCGTTCTTATTGGACAATATTAAAAGTGATATCTGCAGTGAATATAGATTGAGAATATCTAACATTCTCTTCAGTAATATATTTCACGAGTGTGGCTAATATTTTGATATCTCTCGCAAGTGCGCAGCAGCACCAGTGAAATGTATCAAAAATTAGTCACGCTCGGGAAATGTGTGTATTTAGTATTCCTAAAATCTCTGTCAGTTATCAAACTGATCTTGATCCTTTGACAACTTGCATGTCTAGTCGTCGACCCTACGCGGTAAAATATAGTCCTCTGCAAAATTTTGATAAAATGTAAAAACTCACCATTCTTTTCATACTTTAGTTGATTATTTTAATAAGGAATGCCAACTTAATTAATTAATTTTATTATTTGATAAAAGCGGGTCACATCAACGCAGATCACTGTGCGTTGTTGGCGCCGAATCTAAAATGGTGGCAAGGTCTAGTGGGGGAAAATGCAGAGTTATTGTTTCACTACCTATCCATATGTGAAATAGCCTTCCCTAAAAGTTGAATGTATTTGTTTAAATTGTGGGAATAATTAAAATGACATTCAAGAAGTAAAACAAAAGTCATCTGCAAATAAGAAGAAGTTTTGTAAATTATTTCTGACGATCTAATCAGTTCATCTAGATCATCAACAAAACGTTCTTGCTGGACATTGAACTTTTTTCCACCGATATATTAAAACTCTGTTGTTTAAAAAACAAACAAAGTATTCAATTGATTTTAATCTTGAAATAGAATATAAAATTGTTTTTAATCTTGAAATAGAATATATGAAAGTGTGCAGTGAAATCAATTCTCATCAAATGTTTACTGTGCAGCTGACACGTATGAAGATGGTGGTCCAGCTCTGGACTTGGAAAGTTCACCCTTTTTCCCTGATCCGTCACTGCTCAGCGGAGATCCCAAGAAATCACACAAATTTCATCATCTCATCAATAAGATTCGACGTGGTAAGTATATGTTTTTGGATTCAAAGGTCGAAAATGCCCGTGGTGCTTATGACATCAAAAGGGATCCTCGGGTCACCAGTCCGAATTCCAGTAGCTATTGTTCAGGAGCTACACATTGCATATATCTCTGTAAGCACTACGGAAGAGCCAGTTAAATAAAGTTTTTTTTTAAGAATCAGTTATCTGGAATATGTCCTCAACAGTAATGCTCTGAAAACTGCTGACAAATTGCTAGTAATCTTACTTTGTACCCGATGTAACGAGACGTGTCTACATCAACGTCTAAAATGAAATGTTTCCAAATGTTTTTGCTTCTAAATTAGATGTAGTATAAGAGCACGTGGACATGGCACACAATTCGCTTTCATTTTATTCGGGTTTTTTTTCATTTTTGTGAATATAACCCCTGTGCAAAGTAAAACCTCTGAATTGTATAGTTAGCTGTTTATTGCAGAAAAACGTGTATCACTAACTTTTTTCTGGTGTCAATTAAACTGTCACTATCACAGACAAGTGTGAATAAAATCACTATTTAATTTGAAAACAATATTTTATGTATATATTGTTTTAGTTTCCAGTGGCGAATTTGGGGACGAAAACAAAATTGATCTCCAAGTAAACGATCAAAAATATATTTTATTTGTTTTAACGAGTGAGTCATTTATGATTTTTATAGCACATAACTGCCCAGAATTGTTTCTTCCGGAGATTCCTCAACTGGATGATTCACAATCAGATGATATTGGTACGTATATCAATGACATTGGCAACAATAATTTTGGTTTTATAATCTAAACAACACTATTCTAGCGATTTTCACTTTTATAATGATTTAACATTATTTTAGACAACGGCAAAGAAACGGTCTTAATAGCCAACTAACGAAAACATGCCCTTATCAGATAAGTGAATGTTACAGACGAATTTTGGGAATAATTACACAAGACGTTTTTGCATATATGGTACTATTCAATACGAATATATTCTTACACAATACACTATTAACAAATCGCCCATAATGTTTACACTACACTGTGTAATGTAGATGTATAATATAGTTGTAGTTCATAGTTCTTAACCTAAATAGCTAAATGATAACGAATATAACATTTTTAATATTATCTCATTTAACCCTGAAGCATCCTAGAAGTAAACCTTAGCACTAAATTTCATAAAATACAGATGTAAAATAATACATTTGAATATGTCCTTATACAATTATAGACTTCAGGTGAGGTCTATCCCTGATTTACAAACCTGGTCTGAACAATATTCACAGAGGCCTTCGGAGTCTATAATTGTATAAGGATATATTCAAATTGTATGCTTTTTATTCTTACTACAGCTAAGTCTTTGGGGCTCTGCAATAAAAGGTCCTGAATATCACACTGTGATAATAAATTATGTCATATTACTTAAGCAGCCGAACTCTGCTTGGTTTAAACTCTCTTGCGAATGCGTTAAACTTCGCGAAATTAAAAACCTCATGAATATTTTGAGATTGTCGCCATAACATCCGGGCTTCACACGTCTGTGACATCAGTTGAGCTGTGTCTACTAGGTCAAAACATCGTTTTGAAAAAGTACATTATATAAAAAAAAGTTTGGCAACGACACACAAAAGTACTAAATCTGGTACACAATAGAAAGAGGTACTCCTGTGTCCAGTAATGATGTCAGATTGTTCATTGCTAGTAGTAACAAGCACTCGGAACTCTTTGGGGGTGTTCCGAAATAGACTTACAGAAATTGTGATTTACGAAATTAAACCCCCGCGAATAAGTTCCACACTAAAAATCGCGAATTGTTAAGGCATACATGATACACCAGAAGCGTTCAAGAAGTATATTTAAGTACCAAAGGATATTTCATACTTAACAAGAAATGCAAAAAATACATTTGAATGTTTCCTCATTCCTTATGGTCACAACATTACACATTACTTTGCAGATCTCGAAGTAGATGCTCCACATTCTCGCCCCCAAACAAGGCCTTTGTTCTTTCAGAGTGAACCTTTAAAAAGCAAAAAAGGTAAAACAGGCTCTTTCTCTGAGGAACCAGAGAGTAAGTATACATCAATCAATAAACTTGTACCAAAAGTGATTGCCTATGTAAAAAAAAATACAAATAAAACATGTTTATTCAACCTTTCAAGTGATTGTTCATATCTAGTTCGTTTTTGCTTTGTTTTACCCTCGCTCGCTCTGACCAACACCCAATAACCAACATACACACAAACCCACACACATACACAAATATACCTCAGTGATATATTTGATGCAATTAGTTAGTTCTATACAATACAAGTTGCGTTTACATAATTTAAAAATACTAACTGTTATGTCTATTGATTATTTCGGTAAAGAATTGTTTGCATCTCTTTGATAATGTAAAGCAATAATTATGATCAATATGGATATAGTCATTGTATATGATTAATAAAAACTGCGATGCATGGGATATGTTGTTTTTTGTTTTAGAAAACGATGCTGATATGAGAAATGTGAGATTACTGCTGGAAACACCAGCTGCAAAATACCTTATATCGATGGGCTATGACAGCAAAGCTGTTCTTGAAGCTATATCAAGCTACACACAAGCCATCGGTAATACTATAACTATGTTAATATCATATAATTGAGTTCATACTTTGTCATACTCAGCTGACGAGTGCGTTTTTCAAATTGTCTGCTCTTAACAACTCCGAACTGGTTTTTGTTCAAATAAAACATAAAATGAATACATTATAATTCTTTTCAGGAGATGTGGAATTTGACGTGAATGATTTATTAGGCATTTTAACTGGAGAAGACTCTAAGCCGGGGAAAGCAGCAGTTCACAATGACTAAAGAAGATAGGAGAGATCCTCATTAATTGCATACCTTTTGAATCTTGTAATAGTGATACAGCAAGTATATTTGACGTCTCAGTTTGTATCGTCAATTCCAACGTTATGTATTTTTACGATGACCTTAGTCTGATTTAATGTAATCATGTCATTCGAGACACCTTTATGAGTATACATGTGGCATTTTGAGTTCTGTACTAGAGACGCGTTTATATGTGCTAACGAAACGCTAGAGTTATCATCATGACCTGTGAAACACAGCCAATCTGTCACTAAAGTCGGTAGTAACCTACTCAACAGGCATACAGGATAATTTAAAACGTTGTGGTTATTTTACTTTTTATTACATTTCAGGAACACCAAAGTGTTTTATACATGTGCTTTATTATATATCCTTCCTTGTTGTATTTTTTAAACCAGCATTGACCTTTGTTCTAGATATATTAACGAAGAGATATATTTATGATAACACGTTTTTCATTAAGCAACAAAAAACTTATCTTCATTAAGTTCGCAAATGATTCAGGATGATACCTTTTCATGAAATTGAACCAATCAATATTTGCATGAATTCTTGAACTCCGTTTAATAACATACACCTATATGTACATATATACAATTAGCCTTGTTGATTTTAAAATTGAATTCAGCTTGTATATTCATTTACGACGTAATTATTCCATTTTAATTTTACTAGTGCCAGACTCAGATGTGAACTTCCATATTGACAAACGACATTTCATATACATAAGACTGGCTATCAATATATCATCGCTCAGGAATGAATTCCTCTATCAACAATGATTATACCATTTAATTTAACAATAATTTGTGACGGAAGAAGCTATCTTAATTACTACATTTTTGTTGATACATTCTTTAACAGAATCACTGTCATCTTATTGTAAGTGCTGAAAGACTGCATTAAGATGAATCGCAATGGTGAATGACGACTCCAATGCTAAGTTATCAAAAGCCAATCAGTTGTTTGGAAAACATGAATCCAATAATCTGAAATGAAGAGCGAAAACGAAACAATTCATTGAAGAATGAAAGAGGAACTGTTTTTCCCTTTCTAAAACAACTTTACTTAATGTTATATTGCATTTTGATATGAGATAGAAAATATGTGTTTTGAAAATAATCAGCAGGGCATATTTTTCATAAAAAAAATCTGGTTTTTATTTATGTGGAGAAAACGACTTATTAAACGGCAGCAAATTGATTAACATACTACAGTCTATTTATGTGTGAATGCATGTACCTCTTATTCAGCGTCAGGGGGGCCAATTTGCATTATGATATTAAACATATCGAGTTTGAGTGTGCTGTGACATCTTAGGATAATATCGTGGGTTTTTTTCATTTTGACCATAGCCAAAGTAGACATGTGAAAACTACGTAGTAATTTGTCGATCAACGGATATCATAACTTTATAAACAGTCGTTCACTTTAACTACAGGAAATATACTTAATATAAGGTTGTAAAACTATATGTATAAGTGTTATTGTTTTCCCTTTTTCTCTGACGACTAAATCTGTGTTTGGACAATCGGGATGTTCGTTAATCAATATAATTGGATGCGTTGTGCAGTCATTTCTTACTGATGTCAATAATTATTCTCTTCTTAGTCATCTTGTTTTGTTTTTATTTTGGTTGTTTTTTATTATTAACATTTGATATTTGTATTGTTTCTACATCATATGTTCCGTCTTCTCATATTTCCTTATATTGTGGAAATGGGACAATTCAGCTGTATTCCGAACATTTGATGTAGTCAGGTGTGCAATTAATCTAAGTAGAAAATTCTGCCTTTGTTGATTGCCTTTTTAAAGTATGTTAGACATGTAGTGCATTAATCCCTTACCATTTAACTGCAGCTATAAAGATTGACGGTCAAAATTTTACTTAGGATGTAAGAAGGCCAGTTATATTTTTTGGAGTATCTGTGTTATTATTCGAAACTGTGTGCTTTGGTTAGGTTGTTTTATAGATATTATGTACATGTATAAGTTCATTTATATCATGTCTTGCAAATAAAATAGTATATCATTATCATGCTTAGTCTGCTTATGTATATGATTCTACGCTACCAATTTATAATCCTTTTTTAAATGAAGAGTTGAACCTTTTGAAATGATAGTCCATTTAAATAGGGCAATATGTGGCATAATGAAAACTGAGGTTTTTTTCTCAGATGAGACTTACCGGAAGTACCTGAAAGGCACCACATAATACACATACGTAGAATGATGTACCAAGGGAATGGGGACCAAATTCTTCCAATATCAACAAACAGGATGACACCATTAGAGACCCTGTGGACATATAAAACAACATGTTTAATATATTTCCTGTATATTGACGATTTGTGTAAAACAATGACGAAAGTATAGGCATTAGTTGGCTTATGCATTACCATAAAACTTTTATGACTTGTTATAAAAGAACAATATCGCATTTTATTAGATGGTATGCAATGAATACGAACCCGTAATATTTTGTTCTGTGTTTAGTATTAAATATCACCAGCTAGGTTGTGAGAAATAGATACTAGTCATTAATGAATACACTTAGCATAGTACATGTACAAGAAATGTGGGGGAAAAAGAGAAAGCATACTAGAATCACTTACACAGTTATGGAATTATTTGATATAATTGACCGATGAAAAAAATTGAAAATAAAATAAATTTAAACGAGGTTTGAACTAATTGACAGTGTGACTACAAGGGTGTCTTGTGAAAGAGTGAAAAACAACAACACAAGAAAAAAAACTCATTGTTGTTGTTGATTTTTTAAATGATATTTTTAGGTGCTTATGTAATGAATGACGGTTACACGTCCTTTCTTTCAATATGGGTTCATATATTTCGTTTATGGTGTTTTCAAATATACTGGTCGCACTTTGTTTTACTTTGTAATACGACTCTACATACCACTAGCAAAGCCTACAAAAACCACGGGTCTTGTCGATATAGAATTGGCTTTGATGTCTTTGATGATGATGACGACAGTAGCCACGGTTCCTGCAATAGCGCCAACAATAGACAACAGTGCCAGTACGAGTGCTGCTACCAAAGCACCGGCCACGGCTGTGGATGAATAAGCAGAGGATGTGCTTCACTGACATGTCAAATAAGTACATGTATACAATGTAGGTCTATAAGATAAAAGAACGTTATCAAGAAACCGTTAACATTTTTGTTCTGTAATTTATAAACTCAATTTCTCTGAAAAGCGGATTAAATTGAAATAGAATTCCACACTGGAATTGTGTGGGTTTTTTTCTTTATATGATTTTGGAATTTTACTCAAAACAGACACGTTTATTGTTTTATACCTTTAACATTGTCCTTGATGCAATGCATTGGTACATTGATTTGAAAACACATCCGTGATCACGTATGAAATAAATACATAAACGAGTAAGTTTATCTAATATTACAAAAGATAAACGACCGGTTTATACTTTACATAAAACGTCATGACATAAGGCTATCATCATAATTATGCATGTACGCCGGGCTCGTGACCGAAGGGTTGCGGGTTCGAGTTACGGCACGTCGCTGTGGTGTATCTTTAAGCAGACTACTTTACTCTGTTTGTTCCAGTCTATGCAGGTGTTAATGAGTATGCAGTTAGGCAGTGCTAGAATTGTTGAATGATATCTGCGGGCGCCGAACTGGCAGCACCGGCTGTATGCTCCCAAGAAAGTTGACAAAGATATTGGCTGGTTGCAAAGGCCTCATAACCACGGATAATAATTTGTGAACTGCATGGAGACGACCTACGATCTAGGTTGTGATAAAGCGGTATATAAGAGCCTTGAATTATTATTCTTATTATTATCAGTCATAAGCTAGGTATATACATAGTATACATTCGTAAAGATAAAACGAAATTCGTGATACCTGATGCATATACGAACTTAAATAATATGCTTTTACAATGACACATAAAGTAATGTCTGATGCTCAACCTTTCCTCATATATGCTTATACAATGACACATGTAGTGATGTTTGATGCTCAACACAGTATCAGATATGTTGATAGAATTACACACACAGTGATCTGTGATGCTCAACACGTCATCAGATATGCTCATTCAATGACTCATACATTTAAGCTATGAATATTTTAGCAAACCTTTTTATTGTCCTATCATACACATTGATATTTATGAAAAACCGGAATGCCCGGAAGGGCTTTCTGTAAGTTATTCAGTGATAGAAATGTGTGTTATAGGACCATGACAATATTTGTGAAAATATTTCTTATTTATATTTACTTTTGGATTGTGTAGTTATGTTTTTTTAGTTATTTGGAACTGCTTTTGAACAACAAATCAATTATTGACAACAATGAAATTAATGACGTCAAAAATAGCAGATGTTGTTATAGTCTCATAACAACACTTGCATTCGCAATACATTGCAACGGAAAGATGCAGAGCAAATGTAAATAATGATGTATGATGCTCAACATTCCATCAAAGATGTATTTACATTGACACATAAATTGATGTTTGACGCTCAATTCTAGATAAGTTCAGCATATAAAACGACAAAATTACTTGATAAGGTATGTTTACACAGTGACATACACTTTTAAGCTTGATCATAATAGCTAATATGCATGATGAAATATTATGAGAAGATCTTTTACACAACCAATCATATTTTCTATGTGATGTTTCAATTACTAGTACGATATGTACACTGTCAACTTCATCAGACAAATAAGCAATGAAGAGTATTCACACAAAGGTGTAAAATGATGTGTACGAGTTGTCCATAGAATCGAATCAATTTGGCTACGTTGTAACCGTTTGTACAAAAGTTGTTATATCTATACCTAAATGACTCGATTCGGCTACGCTTTATTAAATACTTGGTCAATGATGTGTGAGAGTGTTTGAGCCCCCTCATATTGACTTAGAACTTGTCCACTGCAGCGTATCCAGATGGCCTCTCTTATCTGCCGCTTGAACGGTTGCTCTCTCTATCCAAAACTTTGGAGCTATCCCAATCAATCACATAATCACACAATACGACTGCTTCTGGTGAATTTCCTATCTTCTTGTGTTTCCGTATCTTTTCGATGTTCGCCAAGGCGAACCCCAAATCGCCTTTCAATCTCTCCAATATACGATGCGTCGCAGTTTTTGCATCAAATTTCGTTTGCGCATTCTGTGACGTTCTCTTTAGAAACAGATGTGATACAATAGTCACTGAACAACAGGACAAAACACAAGAGCATAATCACATCGCTAGGGCAATGTGCATATCCGGAATGGGCCTTAACATTGGTACAAAAATGGTTTCAAAATAAGGAGAAGAACAAGAAAAGGCAAAATCAAGGATAAAATAAAACCAAAGGTCAAGACGTACATAAAGAGTATATCCGAAACCATCCAGGGGATATATCGCGGTAATGGCATAGCAACAGCCATGAAGCCCCGCAAGACGCTTCGCAATATCCTAATACCTCCTTAGGATAAATTAGCTAAGGGAAGCCATCTGGAAAACGCCGCAGTGGGCCAGTTCTAAAGCGAGATGAGGGGGCTGAAACACTCTTGCTCATCTATGACCAAGTAATAAACAAAGCGTAGCCGAATAGAGTAATTTCGGTACTTATATAACAACTGTTGTAGATACGCTTACATGGACAACTCGTACACATTTCAGACCTTTGTGTGCATAGAATTCACTGGTCATTTGTCTTATGAAGGTGACAGAGTACATATCGTACTAGTCATCGAAACGCCCATATACTCTCCTATTAGTTGTGTAAAAAGAACTTCTAAAAATCCATACCTACCACCCGGAAGAAAATGTTTAGAAATATGCATAATGAAAGTAATACGCAAACAGTGACAATGATGCTCAGACTTACTGGAACATCTATCTATCATCAGGGACACACAGTGAATGCATATCCTGGGTACTCATCATATTGCCAAGAAGAAAAAAAATAACACACCAGACATAACTTAAGGAAAAAAATGACGTTCAGGTTAAAATCATGTATATTTAAACTGACTTCATACATATAATACGATAGCTTTGTGGCTCCCGCGCCGGGGGTCATAAAAACCGAACGCCTTACAGCACACTTTGACTAAGTTCGTTGTTAAATGCAGCTGTATCGGGTATTCTGGATTTTTTTGGCTTATGACGCATATCCATTCTCATGGGACATCTGACGTTATCTTATTCCTCCATACATCAAATGCAATGTATTTAAAATGTTCAGAGCGCTGTAAAATTAGCTGGTAGCAATTTGACACTATCGGGTGAAGTGGAAAGAAATATTTATATTTACTTTATGTTGGCTGGTTCTTTCGCGGATACTTATTTACATCATTTGCGAGATGATGATATTTTTCATTTTTAAATACCATACAGCAACAAACCTAGCACTTATCGTTTACGTGACCCTTGCGCATAGATATAAATACTTGAACATTTAAATGTGTTGTTTCACTTTCGGACAGATTCGCAAAATGAGCATCATGCGTTAATAGCAAGATTTACGGTATATCGCAAGGAAACAAGAGAAAAGATAACCTCAATGCATCACACCTGATGCTCTCTAAAATGTGTTATCGTCTGATACGAAGGTGACACAGTCACTGAGGATGCAAATTACAACGGACAACTCATTGAAATTAAATGATAAAATTGCTTTAGCGCTAATATTTGTTTATGTAGGGGTCGAAGCACTCTGCGAAGCTACATTGTATCCGAGCATCTCTGGTTTATAAAGCAGGAAGTTTATCCATTTTAGTGTTTTTCCGTTCCTGCGTTTTTGTCATAAAAGTGTCAATAACAATAAAAAATGTACTTACATTCTTCTGATAACCATGCCGCTTGGTTGCAAGTTGTTACATTGTTTGTTAACTCACAGCAATCATACAAAAGTCCCCGATCGGAACAATGCTCGTCAGAAAACCAAAAAGGGGTGAAAAATCCAATCACAGAACATATTGTCGTTATAAGCATCATCGGGTAAAGACACCGCCATGCATTGTCCTCATGTGCTCCAACTTTGGTTTGCAGAAATTTCTTTAATATGATGATTATTAACATGGTGTAAAAAGGATAAACTACAATGTTATAATTACGTTGATTGTCCAATACCTGCAATTGCGCATATGGTTTTATACGTTTCTGTGATAAATCATCACATTGGGCCAGTGTACAATATAGTAGGACAATGCAGTACTCATGTCCATTGCCTCTGTCAAGGATTACAACTTGAGATATCCAAAAAACGTTCCATTTGGTACGTAGTGTGTTGTAAACAGTGTCTTCAATTACCTGAGACAGGTAGTGTCCGGTACAATGTCAACTTTGCAGCTTGTATGTATCATCTGTTGATTGATAGTTATTTGCTGTCAGAATTTGTACAATATACAAGCAGTATATAATCCAGACAAGGCGCTACAGTTTTACGTCTGTCACTAAGTATACAGGTGTGTTTAAAACGCATACAATTCAGACACGGATATATACACTTATGAACAGAGATGCATATCACTTTTTTGCATATGTATACATTGCAACAAAGAAATAGAATTTTTAAATATGTGTAAATTATCCGCATCTTAGTTTGAAGTTTCATCGTATAAAAGAGTTTCGTATCGCATCACTGAGCGCGACACTGTCAACGCTATATTGACTTGTATACAACGTACAGGTATATATTTGTGTTGAAAGAGTATCCCTTGGCCAAATGTTCGGGTTTAGAACATGCAAGTCACGATGAAGATCTTAGTAATCCATGCGAATATAATGCAATTTTACCACAGTGGAAGATGGCTGCATGACGTCACGTCTAATTGTGATATTCTAACACCATATATTAAAAGTCTATTTGTGATGTGTGATGAATGAAGAAAATTATGCTAGGTTTTGTATTACTTATGTATGGTGGCGTATGTCTGCCATCGACTTACGAGTTACGTATGTCGACATGAGTTCTAAAATATGTAGACATAATTTATATATTATATCAACATTTTCCAAGAAAAAGGTCAAACCTACTTATTATGAGCTATGATTACATCTGGTGACAATTTCTTAGAAAATAATTGGTTAACTACTGTCAAGAGACGAAGTATTTAAATAAGCTGTACCGCATCCATGATTAAGCAAACAAACAATTAAATCACATTTAACAAATTTATCTACATATGTATAAATATAACAAATATATAAGTACATTTAAATGTCACTAGACAACACCGTCACTATATCAGAGTGTGACTTATGACACAAATCCATGAATGGCTCCAATATTCAGCCAAAGTCTCACAACTATACAAGCATAAACAGAACTCAAAAGTTCCACAATTTTGTAGACAAAAAGGAGCAAACTACAGAATACAACCCTGTAGCAGTCAACACAGTTCATACATATACACGACCACCCAGTTCAAGTATATATACATGAACCTCAACACCCAGTTCAGAATTTACATAGATGAACACGTAGTTCATATAACACCGTTGAACACACAGTACAGGGACTACCCAAGTGAACACTTAGTGCATTTTAAATAGATGAACACACAGTTCAGATATATTTGTGAACATATAGTTCAGATGAACATGTGAACACACAGTTCAAAATACATGTTCTGACTATTATCGGTTGGACAAACAGTTCAGGTATAACTATGAACACATAGTTGTAGGATATGAACACACAGTTAAACAAATATAGGTGAACACAAAGTTCGGGTACTTAATTGGAACCCTGGTAATACACTTTACCAGTTGGAGCCAAAATAGGATAATGTCCGCTCACTTCACGATACTCATTGAAAATATAAATAAACCTAGACCGTCTTACAGTACTGCTTCACTGAACATCACATGCTGTCATAGTTCATATAGATGTACACAATCACTCAAATGCTTGGCCCGGGAATGCAGATCTGGCTCACGCAGACGCTTGAACTCCCGTATTCTACCCATCTGGTACCCGGTCAACCAAAGGCCCTCACACGTCATAGACAAAGGCTCTCGCAGAGGCTGATACCTAAAATTAGTATAACCTCATCTGTACCTAAGTATACATACGGGTCTGCAAACCTGACAAGCAATAACATCTTAAATACACTCATTTACAACATACTTTCACTTTGTATTTGTTTTACGTAGGACTTCTTCGCATATGTTTAAACAATATAATAACCACGTTCAGACAAAATATATACGCACTTACTTGGCTTAACAGTGCCATATTAACTTTTGAATAATTCAACAGGAATCATTCTACTCACTGCTATTTACACCGTACAACGCCGGTTCCAGTCGACATCGCCACATGCTCACATGTACCCCCAGTTATTGTCGGGCGTTTTAGTTATACATGTATGGACATCTTTTCTTTATCACACAAGGCTGGATACAATTTCCATTCCATGTGCGAGTAGTAACACCACCTCACATCGCTCTCCTTCAGCTTCTCTCTCAGCATCTACTCACAACATGGCCGATCTCTCTCTACCCAAAAGCAGGCCTAGCGAGATTCTGATAGTTCAAAAATATATGTAATACTTCATACGATTGTTTCAAGGTAATAACAGCATCAGCCGCATTCGGAAACATTTTAGGTCCTATGTACCGAAATAATCGGTAACTCAGCCATAAATACGGATTTAATACAGAGTATTAAGTCATCTTTCAATATTTACTAGTACTAAAATACACTTTTCAAAAATACTATACAACTGACAAAATTCACATTTTGACAACTACTCGTTTTGTTTTACATAAGTAAGTGTTAAGTTGACGTCACATCTGAGCATTAACATGATAAAAAGCCGAAATACATTTTAACGTCATAATTATCGCGGCACAGTTATCTCGGAACGTGTAAAAATATGAAGAAATACCTTAAACGCTATTGCGACATATTCATATATTATATCGATATCTTCTTAGATCATGTCGACATCTTTGAAAAGTTATGTCGACATAACAGTTACTCCTACGTCGTTAGTCGATGACAGAACTATGCCACTATGCATATGTCCCTGTACATTTTGTATATACGGTATATTTTATAAACTATCTATGCGAAACTCTACAGTGGTTTTCCCTTATAATCAATCAATCTTTTCAAGCTTCATTATTTTATGAAACGGGGAATTCCGGACCACGTCGCATTGCAAATTACTCTGTGTATGATTATTGAAAACAAAACAAGAAAAAACATTGTATTCTTATGTTTATTCATTACATGCAAGTCATAGCAAATACCATCTATGCATGAAATTTATAGTAAACATTATTTATAAATGCACTGAGCAGGAAAGCGTACATCTAATATTTACTGTATACATGTATTTTTTTATATTTTCATCACCAGCATTGCAAGATATGGTTTGTCTTTCATTTGCTGGTATCAGTTATTTATGAAAAAAAGGTAATCAATTCATAAAAGAAACCAATGTACTCAAGTGATCTATTTTAAAAATTCAATATACATATAACTTTGATTTCGCACAGATTCCTATTGATTAATAAGAATATAAGTTTTCATTTACAGATCGTGTTTTGAGGTGACAGGGGTACGAAACTATTCCATAATGGCAACTCTTTAACATGAGTGGTAAAGGTCAGAGTGGACAACGCCAACAACGTCTTTTTGTATGTATCTATATGAGCGACGATTAACAAGATTTGTACATGGATGCATATAAATATATCTCTTTTTAGGTATGATACGTTACGAATACCATATCATCTCTTTTGAGTTTAATTGACTGATAAAAATATCATGTTGTCTTATTCTGTTGAAATATATACATTTATCTACATGTACAAATGAACAATACATGCGTTTCCATTTCATATGAGATTTATGAAACGAGTCAAAGAATGTTTCTGTTTAGCGAGCCTATGGCTCATATTTCATATAAGACGAAAACGAGTGTAATATCCTTTTTATCACATAATCGAGATTTGTGGCATTTATTCGCGTTAAACGACAATTTTCATGCAACCTTGAAATGTAAAAAGCCACCATTTTAATTCCAGTGTGTAAGTCTATGAGGTCATCTCGTCCTAGGCGTGACGTCACAATTGAAACAATTGAAACTTACAACCAATCACAGTGCTGATAACATATTACATGGGTCAATACGCAAAAAAAACTTGACATGGGTATATTCACTGGATAACAATTTCATTATGTGATAAATCAATATTTACAATAATGTCAATACTAAAATACGCTGAACAAACCAATACCATGTATTATCAATAAATATGATTTCGGATATCGAAACTTTACAATTTGTATTTACAAAGCTACTCCATATTTAGTAAAAACTAAATTTAGTGTTCACGATAACATTTTATCTCAATAAATCTTCACTGAATGAAACTCATGGGAATGGCACTTAATTAATTTTCTAGTAATGTGTCATATACTCTCCCGGGTTCCAAAAATACATGGAAATTTGATTGGTTTAGAATCAAACTAAAATATTCGGCTTGATATGAATCATTCCTCTGTTGTAATGAAATTATGAGAATACCAAAATACAAATAAGACACCATTGAAAACTAACGAGGAAAAAACGACCTCATATGTCCGAAAGGGTAAGCATCTAATGCTTTATTGGCGAAACGGCCATGTAAATCTCACATTCAAAATATGTCATGACCTCGAAAAAAGTCCGGGAGAGTAAACACGAAACCAAAAGCTACGCCAATGAACATAATCAAAGTTTCTGTATGTTTAATGCACAAGGAAATAAACCTTTCCAAATAAAAACATGATACAATTAATTGTAGCGATCATAACACTCGTCCATTGTCTTCATCGACCTCCTTGCCCTGCATAATTAGTTTGTTCATCAACATTCGAATTCCATCACGGAAATCCTGATAATCGTAGCAAACCGAAGGGTAATGTATCAACTACAACCTGTCAACATGGTAGGTGAAAAATCAGTCACATTCGTTCAAATAATAACGTATCTCCTCAAATACATCTCTCGGGTCATAGCGCACATAGCACATTGTTCGGGTCAACAACGTCGTTTTGTATATTAGAATAGCCAAAACATTTATGAATTGATATTTCAAAATTATTTAATTGAGACTACACATCTTCTATTATGACCTTGCAGTCACTGAGTATAACAAAATCATGTATTTGGATATAATAAATAACATTAGCATTTAATTGGTTGATGTTATAATTCATCAGGCTTAATATTTTGTTGACCATGTCGAATACCTACGAGTTACAGCTCTTCATTTTCAAGGTCGGATGCTATTGATTCTTGTTTTTTCCTGAAAACAAAATCATATTCGTTAATATGTTTTTAGTAAACGCATGATTATAGAGGCTTTGATACATTTACAAATTCACATATTAAATGCGTTACGTAAATAGTTAATAAAACATATTCGCTTAAATTTCAATTATTATCAAAATCATGTAATAGTAAATTATGTTTTTTTTCAGATTAAAAACAAAAACGTAAATGTATTTTTTTCGATGTAATGTGGAAAATATATATACCTGTAATGAACATATCAGTTTAAAATTACCTCGTTTCTCTTTGAAGTGTGTTTTTTAAATGATGCTCTTCTGGTTTCCAGATACATGATTTAGTCCACTGTCGCTGACACAATGATGATTTTAGTAACTATCTTGTGTGCTACTTTGAGTAACTAGCATTTTATATTTATGTGTTTGAATAGCAAATACTGATACTGATCATGGTTGATGCACCATCAGTTTGGGTAACGAACCGAAAGATAGGTGTTGAAGTCACAGATATTTTTTATAAGTGGACGAATAATGTGTATCATTAAAAACCACATTTACTGTCTGACGTTAATTAAACTACTTACTGAAATATGACGGAAAGTTTGGCCAAGATAAAGAACTCTTGTAACTTTGACGAAGCGTATTAATTAAGTATTTACTAGGTTTGGAGATATTTCCCACGTCCATCATTCGACAAAATAGCAAAATAGCACGTTTGTTTTATAGTTTTCCTTTGATTCAACATGACATCCTCTATCTACAGCCTGACAAATATGTTAGTCTTTAATTTTAATCCTGACCTTTAAGAAGTGTAGGATTGCAATAAGTATGGTACATAGTTCTGTCCGAGAGAAGACCTTTATACTGATCTGGTTTAAATTTGTGTTTGGATTGTCAATGTTTACACAAACTAGCGAATACATCTGTTATATGCAGTGGAATATGTATTTTATCCCAAAAATGTCTTCACGCATGACGTAACCTCCTGGGAACAAACTGAACATGATGTCTGGCTTTTTCCACATGGCTCACATGTGATTCTGTGACCACATGGTACGAAGAGCATACACCTGTCCCTTATCCGGCACAACTCGCATCGCTGTTGTGTCTTCAAGTATTCATTCTCCATAGCCAAAGCTTTAGGGGCTGCGTCGAAAAAGGAAAGAAAGAAAAAGAAAATCCATAAGTTAAACACACAAAAAAAGTATACTTCTGTGACAATGTTGAATAATTTTCGTCAAACAAACATCAATTGAGTAACTAAAACTGTTTGACAAATACGTGTTTCAACACTAGCACTAATATAAATCACAATGATCATCGTACTTACTTAGACTGATTTCATCTGAACTTGAACAAGATTCCGAATCTGCAAAAAACAAAATTTGTTCGTTTTACCGTTTTTTCACTAATATTCATCAAAATATTTATGGTTTCAGAAAGGTGTTAATCGGCAGATTAAAGATAAAATGTCACTCTTATTGGCCATTTAAATATAAAAATTCTAGGCTCTCGAAAACGCATGTACTATTATAAACAACGCTCACTAAAGGCCTGTTCTTCAAGTTGTTTATACATTGCACATTGTGTACACTATTAGACGCAGTCGAGTTGTTAGGAAAACACAAAAATGGGTAACCACAAAATAATTCAAACAGTAATTATCAGCCATGAAGGTGGTTATATTTTTCCATATAAGGAAACGTGTCAGCTGCGTGTTACATGTTTATTGCAGATTGGCGCACTCAATTTTTGTGAAAATAAAGTGATGTGCTTATCGCTGTTCATACAACGTTATACGATCCCACAGCTGCACAATCTTTATTCGTCTCTTTAATAACAAATAAACATTAATTATGATTATACTAAAACTACGATGCATTGGCGACACATAATAGATTCTTGATATTGTCAATGATAGTAGTCCACATTATTGTCAGTAATACAGAGAGTCAAATGGCGGAACTTCATAATTGGAATGATTGCAATACCTACTACGTTTTTTGAGATACAAATTACATATCCTAGCCTATAAATAAATCAATACTGTACCTTTGAATCTGTATGTTAATGAATGTTTAGCCGCTTACATTTATGGTATCGTTATTTGTTTCTTTTCCACTCCAGATAACTGTTAGAATTTTGACAGTAAATAGAGCTATGTAAAGGAAGAGACAAAACAAAGTACAAAACTAATAAAATAAACAAATACATAGAACATTGAAGGAGTGAGCGGTGTGGGAGCCCCCTGTGAGGACACAGTTTGTTAACCGGTTTATATCATAGCTCCTCAACTCGTGCGATTGCTAAATGTATACATATTCTGAGGAAAGAAATGCTTATCTTGGAAAACAATTGATGGTATCGGCAGACAACACTCAGTTCATTTAACAATTCAACAATGTACTTTGACTGACACTATTGAAATAGGTACATATAGATAACTATAAAATGTAATGGAGCATACCTATTCCATCTGCCTCCAGCGACGATTCCTTCTCTTCCAACTTAAATATAATCTCCATCAAATCACTTTCACTGAATTCCCGCTTTCCTGTTAAATCATAATTGTATACATAGTTTAAATGTAAATCTACTGCTGTTGAAAGAAACACATCAATATGTACTTATCTCATAATTACAGACAGGTTTGACGCATTGCAAAAACTAGACACGTAATTACAATGCTTGTATCAAGTCTAACGGACGACATCGTATTAATTAAACAACCGTAAAAAGTTACCTGATGTTTCAATGTGGACAAGAATTGCATTCTTGATCATTTTTTTCTTGTAACCAAATTCCTTTACGCTTTCTACTGCCGCTGACAGCATTGGATTTTCCTGCTCCCTTTTGCGACATCGTTCCTCAAAGCTAGGCTCAGCTTTATAAAAATCAAAGCGTGAAATCGATTAGTTCACATAAACATGCATGATGTGATTGAAACGCATTCGATATTATATGATATTTATCTCCATATTTCCATGCATAATAATCCATGTCAACATGAGGTTGATCAACTTATTGAGTTCAATATGCAGACAAATTAAATATAAACAAAAAATTACATGAGTATAACATTAAATACATATTTCACTTTTTCATCATTATAAACCATTGCACATCTAAAAGTTTCATCCCTTTTGGAACATTCTGGTATTTTCCATTTAATACATAACTACATACCACGTGTATATGGTGTTGCCACTCCAGTAGAATTGTCAAGTTCCCTGTCATTATCCTAGATAAAAATGATTTAGCTTTACACATTAAAACTTTAAGAGGGTTCTGCTTGCGTCCATGGTTTTTTTTCCCAAAACATTCACCAGTTGCATAAACTTATATAATAATAACAATAAAGCAATATTTGTAATAAAATATGATCAAAGGATAATTCGGAGGATAATATTTGGGTTACTAAATTAGTAGCATTTTCTACAATTGTCATTGTCCTAGTCAGAATCGTTATGCTTCGAAGTTAGTTTTCATAAATAATATGGAGGATCAAAATGATGTAAAGGAAACATGTGTACCTCTTCAAGAGCTGCGGCCTGTATGAAGGACAAACCTTTGACCTTGATGACAAATTTACAGAAGGGAAACCACCTTGCGTGTTCTGTCCATGGGTCATCGTTTGGTTCCCACTCCCGGAGACCTCCGTCACAGTAGTGACATCGGACAGTGTCCGTCTCACCTGTGCAGAATAAGCAGGTTTGTAGAAGAATGGAAATAAGAAAAAACGGCTTCTCCAGGGAAGAGGAGGAAGAAGATATACGCCGAACTACAGGTGTATGTCATACAAATGCAAAACAAAATGTCCATAATGTACCTGTGTAGAAAAAACCAGCCTCAGCCAAATGTTCTGGTTGCTGGATTACGTAGTCCCGGGGCCATGAGGAGTCATAGGATTCGAGTCTCGTGCTCGTTTGGCTCATGTGGGGATGCTTTGGAGTGTAAATCTGCAATGTGAATCATATTCAATTTCCATGTAAGGAAGAGCAAACATCTTAAAACATTATGGCCACATAATGATTTTGTATTTGTATATCACGGGATTTTATGCTGTAGACAGTAATGTGCTTTTGGTAACCTGAAGTCTACACATTGACAATGGTGGGTGTCAATTAAGTTATATGTGGACAATGTAACTGTATTACAGTAAAATAAATTTTAATTTGAAATGTATGCTGATATAACAAAGTAAATAATAAGTCAAGGAACCGAATAAAATTAAATTAAACAAAATTAAACAAGTCTATACTGGTAATAATTGTATTGTTAATGTATCTTACGTTCAGCAACTTTGATAGAAAACCACTAAACAGAACGAATATACATCTATTGATATACCATAAAGAGACAAATAACAGGGATCATCTTAGAACGCTTACGGTAGTATAAGCATTCAATGAAAGTATTATTTATAATTGCAACTCTTTTGTAATTTCCAATTTCAACCGTCTTAAAAATAATTGGTATTTAAAACGATAAATCATATGTCAGCTCCCAATTTACCTGTGACCAACGCCTTTGGATATTAGAGATAAAATGGTCATCTCGTTGACTTCTCAAAAACGGACAATCTGGGCTGTGACGCGCATGTTCGACCCAGGGGTCATCCGATGGGTCCCATTCAGCCAGCCCTATGTCGCAGTGGAAACAACGGACTATATCCTCCTCGCCTGGTCAAATGATAGATTACAGTAATGGTCATTGTATCGTTTATTGAAGCAATGCTTGATAGAAAAATATATTGTAATATCAATACAGTAATAAACAAATAAGTATTGATGTAATTTGACCCTTGTCGTAATAGGCATTTTTATCTATATAAACGTCGTGAGAAATGCATATATCATAACAATATTGCTAAAAATATACACAATTTGACAGAAAGTGCATGAAATAGTTTAGTCTTAATCCAATCTCTTTCAATTTTGATATCATGTTCATGTTTATGTTCAAGGACATTTGAATTTTGTATGATTACATACCTGTAAAGAAAAATCCAGCTTGAACTAAAGCATCGATGTCCTGGTCCGAACCAGGCCAGTTTCTGAAAGACTGTCTCCTAGACTCCGATGACACCTGACTCGAGTTACGTGGAGAGTACGTTATTACCTGATGCGGTGCTGCTGATGCTGAAGATCCTGGCGATGCTGATGCTGATGCCCCTTGTATGCTGTCGGTATGTATGTTGCTTCTTTCATTAGGATGCGTATGTCTTTCATTGATCGTTTCTATCTGGTGAGTCCCGTTCGCATTGGAGAGGCTATCAGTAGTAAGTTGCAATCGCTGCAGGGCAACATCATCTATTTCGGTGTTGTTCACGTTCAAAGACGGTGTTGTTGCTTGTTGAATTACCGTTGAATTACATCCCTCCCGATCCAATGCAGGACATGTAGATGACCTCTGTCTGTGGACTGTATAAGGGTCATTTCCGTTGAAATCGTCTATATGTAGTTCTATACCACAAGACCGACAGCCCACCCTCTGGTCATTTGTTGTGACGCTATGGAAACCTGCCCTTGCAAGCGCTGATGGTGATACCGGTAAATCATTTGGCCATTGTCTGTATGTATTCAACAAAGGAAAGAAAGGGTTTATATTAATTTGCTCATTTTTATCATTCGGATATATAGGGACTGGCGTCAGTGGTGGCATGCTATATTCCTTTTTCTGGGGATAGAGTACATGTTGACGAATCAATTCGGGTGGCTGCTTGAAGCATCCTTTCTCCTCGAAGTTGTCGACAGTGGCCTGAAAAAACTCCTGTAGTACTTCTTTATTGGTGATGCCTGCAGGTTTTTGTCTTCTTGTACATTTAACCCTTTCATGCGAATAACGGTCAGTCCGAATAGGATGACAAGATCTACCAATGGAAGCCGAAGGCTGATTTTTATCTATGTGTAAAGTTGTTTCAATATCCAACTCGTATTTATTATACTCCCCCTTACTAATGCCACCTTTGTCATCATTTTCGTCTGTTTCTGTGACATCACCATCGAGATGGATATCTTGTATATCAATTTGTCCGACATAGACGTCATTACCACCTTCGTGTTGTCGCAATAACACTGTTGGGTATGTGTTTTTACAATGTGGAAGTAGTGACCTATTCTCATCACCGGAATCGTTCTGTTCTATCGAATCGTTTGTCAACACCACTGATACATTTTTCGCGGATTTATTTAAAGTGAAGCTTAACGAACTCTTTGTCTGATTTAATGCGTGTTCCCTGGTACCGTGTGCATGGTCCAACTTTGTATCCCCAATTTTTATCATCTGCGCTCTGAATTTGGTAGACCCTTGATCTTGCCGTGCATTTTGAGATCCACCTTTGACCTGAGGCTTTTTGCTTTGAATAAAAAAGTAAAGATAATTATACAACAAGTTCTATAATATATTTTTATCTAAATTTTCTTATTTCTAAAAGCAATGCCCTTTATTGATAATAAAGGTTCCTGTATAATATAGTATATAAAATCTTTAAACCATCTTTTGTCAAACTCAAGTTAATAGAGAGCTCAGTTTAAAACGAAAGAATGCTGAATAGAAAAATTAGCAGTTCTGTAACTTCATTATTGCATCTCCATTGATGAAAGTGTCCAAGAGCGTATAAATTGTGAGTGGGCAAATGAAGAATAGTTGTGCCCTTATATCATAATGAACGATATGCTTCAGCATTAAGCACAAAATCAAGAACAAGAAAGACAATATAAAGACAACGTCAGGTCTTCTTTAAACCGAAGGCGAACCCCACTGCATAGGAAAAGGGTATTCCTATCCGAACTTGATGACAGTAAATCGATTTGCAGAACTTTATCAGTCTCAATCTGCATAGAATTTTCTAGTTTCTCTTTCTCTCGTAAAATACATATTACGATTTTGTTACGACAAAAGAACTTTCCAGGAATAGCATCTTCTTATATGCAATCAATCTTTAATACCGGTATGCCATGTACTATGAAAGGTACATGTACTATCGACATAGGTATTTTAAATAAGTACGTTTAATACTTAATCCATAATTTGCTTAATTTTTCCCCAGATGTATCATCTACAATCACTGTTATAAACATGTTAAACTCCTACAAATATGGATGAAGGAGTATATTGAAAAATCTGAATTTGTACATGATATACTGAAAAATATTTTGGCTATACACAATACTTTATGGTATTCGAGCTTAAATATATATAGCATGACATTGTGTTCCGTGACTGAGATATATAAAGTCTTGACAATGAATGCCTATTCAAATTCCTAAAAACTAGTTATTAGTTTATTTACAAATACAATAGTAACTGATTGTATCTGCTTCCAAGTCTACTCCATGCGAGCTATCCAATTCTCGCTTTTATATACAGTTAGTGTGCTCTCTATATAAAGAGTATTTTACAATGTATATAAATATTTGAAATGTATGTCTTAATTCCAATCTATCTTATCGACCTGGAAAAGGCATTTATAGGCAATGCCTTTTGGTACAAAAATTGATTTAAAATGAAAAACGAATTACAAGTACACTAAAGTTGATATTCATATGTATTCACATGCAATAAATTTCAAAATTATCTGTATCTGCTGAAAGCAATTCAAATAGCTATACCAGTAAATTACTACGAATTGCTTGTATTGCTCATTTTGACGCCTGCTTCAATTTGTTTCCTTTTTTAGTCTTAAACGACTGACAGGTTATTTGTTGCAACCGCATTGAGAATAGTGATCACTTATAAAATACTTGAACGAATGTAATATTAAAACAACTTTGAATTTCCTCTTCAGTTCAACATACAAACATCTTTTAAATCATTTGTAAAGTATGTGTTATATTACTCTTTAGAGAGACTCTCTTACCTGCTTATTAGTTGATGCTTGAATTGGTAGAAGTTCATTGATTTAAAAGCCGATATGCCGGGTGGATGATCTATAAAATATGAGATTATACATAAGTATCATCAAAGATTTAAGGTTTTTTAATATACAGTAAAAATGAAAACACAAAAACCTAAACATGCAATAAATGCAATACTAATAATGTATTTCTATATTTATAATTCATGCCCAAATCACACTCTATCAAAGGGGCATATTACATAAAATGGGTAACATTAAGATATAGTATTAGACACACGAGAATCTTCCGTGGAGGTAATAAGGCTGAGACAGCAACTTATAACCCAATGACCCCACTCAATGATGAAAGTGATAATTAAAGGATTGATCAGGATTAAGATGTACCAGGTTATATTGAGGCTAGTAGTTGTAAGACTATAAAAATGGGAATGGTGTGGAATTTTTAAGACAAGAATTTACATATTTTAGAAATATGTGTGAGGGATTTTAAATATTAAAATATTTTCTAAATGAGGATTAACGAAAAATAAAACTTGAACTTAAACGACAATTTTAATTGATTTTATAACCTTTGATTATAATGTGGCCATGTTATTATATATGTTTATACAAGTTATGATACATAAGAGTAATTTGTAAGTGCTTTCCCTCAGTATGACTGTTACATATACACATGATCTGCTACAAACAATGGAGTTATAGACATGAACTGAGTCAGTAACTACATTGTATCAACCATTCATGCACAGTGTTGTTGCCAACGGAGAGTGTTACTAAAAATAGCCTTGACATGTGCGATAAATTAAGCGTGCACACAAACATACACACACACACACACAAACAAACACACATATGTCTAGACCGTTCAGTGGACCGTTCAGTGTCACATTTAACTTACGTGTATCACGATTCATCTTTCAGCAGCATACATGGGGCTTTCCTGTGCTTCAAACAAATTATAATATAAAATTTAAATCAAGCATGTAGTGAATAGAACTAAAGTAAGCATTGCATTTGGTATGCCGTAGTATAGCGATATAGGTATACACGTCAGTTGTGGTTGCTTTTATAAATTGAGCATGATACAGTTACATTTATAAATAGAGCATGATACAGTTACATTTATAAATAGAGCATGATGTAATGATATACATGTAATAATGTTTTGTTTCAGTATCAAACGCATCTTTTTGTACGTTGATAATAAATCAAAAAGCAGATTTTTTAGGATCAATCAAGGTTATGATTCCAAACCTAAATGTTCCCAAATAGGAGCATTTGTTAGATTTTATTAATAATACCTACTCTTCAATTTATTAGTCACAAAACACATACGGTACAGCTAAATTCGAACAAAGTTTAAATTTCCGTTTGAACAAACTGTTCCTGTTTCCCTGTTATATGAAAACATTTCTATAGTGTATGCTTGCTAAGCAGTGAGATTAAACTTACAAGGAAGAGTCCGTATAACTCGGCAGTAATCGATGAATGCATCATACAAATATATGTTATAAAAGCAGAAAATTGATCCTTACGAACGAAGAAATAATATAGAAAGAAAAACATTCTACAACACGTCTGAACTTCTTTCTTCTCTTCAAGGAGATTCTTATATTTATATATATATATATATCAATACAGGATCCGTGCAGTTAAAGTTTCGTACAAAGTGTAAAATGTATTTTTATGATTATCGTAAGAGGTATTTCATATCGGTTCAATATGGCCATTGCTAATTAGACATCTTAACTTAGATGTTCTCCTTATATATGTGTTTACCAATCCCCTTTCATTGTATGAGCTGCCGGGGGTTCTACAAATTACAAACCCATATCGGTTTGTTAATCATTCATCTTAAACGAATATCACAAGAAATTTCACAATTGTTTCTCAGATCTTTTCTATAGCTTCTACCTAATAAATGTAGCCATTGATTACCCCTTACCTCTTGCGTTAGACATAATTGATCAATCATATGATTAAACCAATCATGTCTCGCCATGTGCTTTGTTAAGGTCACACATTACGAATCAATAGTTAGATCAGACATTTTAAATAGATATGTACCTGAAACAGGAAGTAATATCCATCATAATAATAGTATACATATATTATTTTCTGTACACCTTGTAAATGTTGTCAAATACTGAGTTGAGTGAGTGTTTGTAGATCTGTTGTCTTGTTATAACTTTTTTTCCTATCCCTTTCACCTTGCACTAGGCGTAGACACATATATTTCATAACACATCTGTATAATGTACACTTGATTGATTTATACATATGTTAACTTGACCTTTGTTAATTATGTTAGATTAGAATAATGTTTAGTCCAGTAAGTTGAACTTACCTTGACACAACGAATACAACATATGCCTTTATTATATTAGTTGAAATGTTGTCATATCCTGCGTGACTAAACTTGCAGTAAGCCACAAAAATGTGTGTGTTTATATTTAGACATGGGTTATATTCCGTGGATAAAAATAGATTTTATGAAAATGAGGCAATAGTGATTTTGGGACATTTGTTTATCTCTTCACGCCTTAAGAATATTCTGGGTCACACGTTAAACTATAGATAAAGGGTCGGTGCTCGATGATCACAGGCTTCTAAATACAAAGATTGATAATACACATTAACTAATGTGAACCTGTTAGCGCTTGTAAAGCGTCTGGGAGAAAAAGTACACGTGGCAATGTTTTATATATGGTTTAAATCACACACATAGTATGTGGAAATAAGTATTTGCATATATATTTTAAAAAGCATGTTTAACTGGCAACCAATATTCTAAATATGTTTCTTTGTTTCCATAACCCTATATTTTATCTGTGTATTATTATTAAAAGCAAATAAAGACATTTTACGACATGTCATTTTACACATATTTTTCTTTTAGTATCAAACAATTATCATTTATTGCATAAATAACATTTTTTACGAGTTTGCTATACAATTTGAAAAGTAAAAGTTCTGAAAATGTTTAATATGGAACAAATATAGATTTGTAACTTTCTTTAGGTCGGGGGTTGGAATAGAGGGGTAGAGTTGAAGAGTTGGAGAGAGAAGGTTTAGTTAGGAAGACCGAGTTATGAGGTCTAAAGACATAGAGGAAAGTTAGAAAGTTGGAGAATTATGAAGTTAGTAAGAATAGTAGTTTTAGCTGTAGTCTTAGGCCTGTGTAGTTTTACAGTTGATAGTAAGAGATTAGCTTGGAGTTGAGAGATTGCATTCACAATGGTGAACACTTGTATATTCTATGACGGATTAAAATACTTGTGTTGTAAATAAAGTGTAAATATCAGTGTACTTATTTTGTTGTTCAATTAATTTGAACTGGTGGCAGCGGTGGAGTTATAACAGAAAATAACACGGTGGGATAATATCACAAAACGTGACACTGGCGGCAGCGGTGGGATAATACAAAACGTAACACTGGTGCAAAACAAAACACTCGTAAAGCATGTGGAATTCAAAGGTAAAGCTCCGTAAATAGAACTTATCTAAATTGACACAACTCCAAGAAAGTTATTTGTACAAACAATTTAAATAAAATAGTTCCAGCATATTAGAATTATGTCATTCGGTGGAATAAAATTCAATTAAAATGCAAACGATTGTAGTTTAAAATACGCCAAATAACGAATATAATGAGATGTTAAATTAAAGATCAAATGTAAACATGCACATTTATTTCGTTCAACCTAGTGAGTGCGTTTCTGCCATATACGTAAATTCACAACGGAAGTGAGCAACTGTAAAATGTGATGGTTCAAATTGGTAATAACAATACCTAATGAGCCGATAAAATGGTAGAAAAAAATCAATACTGAATGACGAACTTCAATATTCAACCTATCGAAAGCTTATTTTATAAAAAAAAAAAAAAAAAAAAAAAAAAAAAAAAATATNTAAGTAGATAGCAACCTTTATGTCATATCTTCGTCTCGTTTTCTTTCCTTAGCGATATAATTTATTATAATTTCAATGTTCCATATCTCTGATATCAAAATAAACTATCGATGTCTCTATTGGCTATGATGATGAACTAGTATGTTCTTGTTGCCTGTCTTTAGACTATGATTTCTAGGTTTTCCGGTTACCCCCCACAATAAAATCGCCTGTGCTAACATCTAGGTACTTTAGAGTGATTAATATCAGTTGAATGACTTGCTTTATAATAGTTGTAAAATAAATAAAGTTTATATATAGTAGTTCTATTTTTAGTAATCTATGTCAGTGTTGTCACCAAGCCAAATGTGAGTTTTCGTATAAACGTATAAAGGGAAGTAATCGCTCTATTATTAAGTAAATGAAAGCGTACTCCACATAACACGAAGAAAATAGAGAATTGAATAAGGCCGCCATAAGATGACAGTTTATTAAAAATGAAACGAAAAAACAATGAAAATAATGTTTACACCCTTAGATGGGGATTCGACAGAATTTTCCATTTTCACCTTCTCTAGTTAAACATTATGATATCAATCGGGTTGTTGGCATGGGTAATTCAAAAGGAGTACTTTACATTTCAAGGACAATACATGTCACAAATATCATTGCTGTTGTTTTTTCTTTTTGTCATTCTAACACTGTGTTGAATGTTGTGACAAGAAATATTGAACTAAACAACAGTGTGTATCAATTGATACATGTATATATGCCGTTGGGGCATACCACCATTTGTAAACGCAGTTCTATAGGATATGAGCAAGCTAAATATCAGTATTTACTTGCTAGAAGTATCAACGCTTTGTATTCACCGTTCATGTGTCAGTCTTTATATTTGAGTTTCTTAGCATTGAGAACATCTGCATCATTTATTTGTGTTCTTATTTTTAACAATAAAGTATTTCAGCAACAACAAAAAAGTTATTGAAGTTGTTATCAATGTGTACATATATCTGTGTTAATGATCAATACTTACAAGGAGCTGGCGACTTATTTTTTAAGCTTGTCCTATATTCGTGTCGATGTTTTCGAGACTGTTAAACACATATGATGTAAGCATCATAAGGATCATGACTACCTGAAATACACACAACACATACATTTGTACATAAAATATCCAATGACAGAGCAGGAGTGGGACGTTTATACTGTACTAACAATGATAAGCAGTGAATCCAAAACGAAAGTTGTACAGGTGCAATCTGATTACATAAGACAGCATGAATGACATCGTCTACATTTAGTTGCTGCAATGTTGATTTCATATTTATTTATTTACCAAAGCTCATTTTTGTGTATCATATATTTCATGAGTACAATATACTTGTAGGAGTTGATCGGAATCACCTGGTTTATTAATACATTTGAATCTATTCGACAATAAGATCATATTATTTGCCCCTGCAAGTTTGAAATCGATTCTAACGATCATGCTTTAAAACAGGATCAATTATTTTTTTACTATAACGGCATTTGGTCAAAATAGCAGGTTAAATAACTTAACATATAATGGATCATAGTGGTGATGAATGAATACAAGAGATATAGGTTATAATGGCCTCATACTACAGATGAATTTGAGAATAAGAGTCAAGAATGATGTTAAATATACGCTGTAAAAAAAAAGCAATAAACAAAGAACTCCATGTTAAAATTTACGAAGATGATATTGACTAGGTACATGTATTACCGCGGTCGTGAAATCATTTCTAAAAATATAGATCACTGAATAAGATTGTAAACAAAGACATCGGATCACTGGCTTATACATATAACACTTATGCAGTTATATACGTAGACAACACCGATATCTCCCTCACACATCTTAATGGACGGTAGAAACTGCACCAAGCCAGATTGCAATGATTTACATGACTATGCACTCAATCTATACTGTTTGTATGGCTATCAAGAAACTAGAATGTGTTTCAATAAAAATGTCTCGATATGAAAAAAACTCTTAACCTTTAAATACATACCTGAATAAGACCTCTATTACGGGTCGCAAGTGGCATTCAAGTTGTTATTCGCAGACTCGCTATTTATATGTACACGGGTTTTTCCAAAATCGCTATTTATATGTTAACGGTTTTTTCCATTTTTTAATGTCCATATTTCACAAGTCATGCATCATTGCCTGCCTTTGCTTTCCGATGAAAGAATTAAGGTTACTAAATGCCAATTGTAGATCAGCTACAAGGGAATACATGTGTTTACTTCATTATTTATATTACACAAATAGAGATCATCTGACGTCATAGATTATACAATTGACAAAAAAAACTGCAAGAACTCAAGTACATATCAACTTGTAATTATGATCTGCTCTACAAGTTATGGCAACTAACGTATATTGTATTTACATTTCCGTGTATTAAGCTTTAGAAGTGGTCTAGACCCGAGGAAACATTTGTCTTAATTATCATTAGGAATTATAAATGTTCATATCTCAACCTTAGCGAACACACACACACACACGCACACACACACACAAACTGACATTCACACACACACTCCTTCAACAAATAGTCATGTATATACATATGAACATGTATTACCTCACCTCTCGTGACCTCGCCTTTATATATCCTCTCATGCTATTGGAATGTACACATAACCCCAGTCATTGATTAAGTTATAATTGTTTAATTAGAATTCCATTTACGTTTAGATATAACGGTCAATATTGTAGAAAGATTTAATACTAGATAGAAATTCCACGATATTGGATAATAAGTATACAAATTGTTCAATAATTAACTTACCCACCATTTCCTCCCGCTCTTAATCCCATCGTGATGTTATGTCTATTTATATCTTTACTGCGGCTATGTGTTTCCCGGTTATATATATTTATGGTAGTTACCTCTCAGAAACTTTCAGTAACAGTTTTATTTAAGGCTTCTATATCACGGATCAAAAACATTAAAATCCGGATAGTACATTTTGGTTTCTTAAATTAAAATATGTTTTTGCTTATATACCATTCCTGTGGTTATTGATTAAAATTTTCCACGAAATTTCGACCAATAGATATAGGAGGCAGTTTTGCGTTTTAATATGCTTTAAAATCCACAACAATTTGATTCAAGATTACAATTGGACCAGCTTGTGACATGATTCCAGCGTGTAGATTGTTTGAATCTTAGTTTAATTGAGTATGTAAGAAAGAGGCAAAAGCCTATGAACATCTCGGTGCAATGAATCTTAAGATTCTGCAAGTATTCTGTATAGTATTTTCAGTCAGATAATTTTCTTATTCAAGTGCATCTTTAATATCATTTTTAATAACTTCTAAATTAAAGTAATATTAATTATCATGATTTATATCATCAATTCACAAGTTTCATATCTTCCTGACTTTGTTAAATCAGGAAATAGAAATGTAGTGGTATACAGAAATAACTGAACCTTTACTCATCTATATTGTACGTCATTATAACAATGATCACGCGTGTACAACACAAAGTTGTACCACTATCGGTTATAGTAGAATAGCAAGATCGGCCTTACCTTCAAATTGTCCTTAATTGTAATTATTTCCTTGAGAAACTTCCTTACGTAAAGGAAAGTCTGTGAAGTTGGAGTAGATACTGTATCACATAGAAATAATAATATCTTCAAATTCAAAATGATAACGACTGTTTCACACTTGGATGTATTTCCAAACATTACGGCATGATACATACAATGTACATAATGTAAGCTATATTCCAGTACAAGTTCACTTTAGTCTAACTCACTGATAAAATGTTGGTAAGTACGAGATAGGTCGCTCGCACCTTGAACACGTCAGTCTGAGACCCGGAAGACCGGGTTCAAATTATAATTTTTAATTCGACGTACGTCATTCGATATTTGCATTCTATCTCAGCTAGGCTAGATATTCGTTTGTGCAAAGGTATACATATTGATTGCTGAATCAATAGCATTCGCTAGCATATTTAGTTATCGATCATTAGACGCCTTTAATTAAAAGAAAAAGTTAAAACTACTTTTAATGAATCATATTCAAAATGCGATCGGTAATTAACATAGGGGTATATTATAAAGCACATTTTAAAAGTTATGAAATAATAATAATCATTAACCCTGAGATTTGATGACCAAATTGGTGACAAATACTGTGACTCCACAGGGGGCTGAGGGGCGGGGCCAAAAGGGGGCAATTTGGCTATATTGCTTCAAACGACTTCTACTGTAGAACTGTGCACTGGATATCAATCATATTTCATCAAAAGCATTCCTGGGAGGCAGGGATTTAAAATTGTACAAATGGTGTGGCTGACCCCCCAGGGGACTGAGGGGCAGGGCCAAAAAGGGTTTTTGGCTATACTGCTTTAAGTGACTTCTTCTCTGGAACTAAGTGATGGATATCAACCTTATTTGACTGGAAGCATCTCTAGGTGGTGGAGATTCAAAATTGTACAAACGGTTGGGCTGACCCCCAGGGGACTGAGGGGAGGGGCCAAAAGGGGGCAATTTGGTTATTTTGCTATAAACGACTTTTTCTGCAGAAGTATTCATGGGAGGCAGGGATTCTAAATTGTACAAATGGTGGGGCTGACACCCCGGGCTAAGGGGTGGGGCCAATAAAATGTATTACTTGGAAATGGTTGAGATCCCCACCATATACACAATTGCTGAGTATATAGAGAAGAATGCACATTTGCTTCAAGATGTCTCCCTAGGGTCTGGCCCCACCCTTGGAGACATAGTCCCTGGGCCATAACTTTGAAACGGTTGAGATCCCCACCCCATAACCATACATAAAATTGCTGGGCATGAAAAATATAATATAGCTATGCTACAAGGATTGGCCTTGGGGTCTGGCATATTCCCTTGATCGCATTTGGAGAATAGTTTGCCATGATTGCTTAGGTATCCAGGTGAGCGATACAGGCCCTCTGGGCCTCTTGTTTATTTTGTCAGGTGATGAACTGATGCAGAAAATTGAAGTTGTTTGCCTTCAATTCCAGTTGCCTTGGTCGGTGATGGCGCGTACACAGGTCATAAAAGTATACCTATCAGAAGTATTGACTGAAAACAATAATTGTGTGGTCATTCTTAGTATAATAACCTTTTTCTGCTTTAATAACAAAGTGATTTGACATTCGACATTGAAGTTAGAACTTCCGGTAAATAGCACGGGGTTCAGAGCTTTAATTATTGATGTTTGTGTCGATACTGAAGTTCAGAACTACCGGTAAATAGCACAAGGTTTAGAGCTTTAACTTATTGATCTTTGTGTGGATACTGAAGTTAAGAGCTACCGGTAAAAGGCACGGGGCTCAGATCTTTAATTATTGATCTTTGTGTGGATACTGAAGTTCAGAATTACCGGTAAATAGCACGGGGTTCAGAGCTTTAATTATTGATCTTTGTGTGGATACTGAAGTTTAGAGCTACCGGTAAAAGGCACGGGGTTCAGAGCTTTAATTATTGATCTTTGTGTGGAAACTTGAGTTCAGAACTACCGGTAAATAGCACGGGGTTCAGAGCTTTAATTTATTGATCTTTGTGTGGATACTAGAGTTCAGAGCTACCGGTCAATAGCACGGGGTTCAGAGCTTTAATTATTGATCTTTGTGTGGATACTGGAGTTCATAGTTACCGGTCAATAGCACGGGGTTCAGAGCTTTAATTATTGATCTTTGTGTGGATACTGAAGTTCAGAACTACCGGTAAAAGGCACGGGGTTCAGAGCTTTAATTATTGATGTTTGTGTGGATACTTGAGTTCAGAACTACCGGTAAAAGGCACGGGGTTCAGAGCTTTGATTATTGATCTTTGTGTGGATATTGAAGTTCAGAACTACCGGTAAAAGGCACGGGGTTCAGAGCTTTAATTATTGATCAGTATATGGACATTGAATGGACACTGAAGTTCAGAGCTACCGGTAAATTGCACGGGGTTTGGGGCTTTATCATTGCATCTATTTTCGTGAAATTTAGAATTTGTGATGATTGAATTATTGATTGATATTGATTGATTGGATCATCGATTTGAATTGATTGATTGAAATTGATTGAATTATTGATCTTTGTTGATTGGGACTTGCCATATACCTATGGAAGGGCGGCAGTCCAATTTAAAAAAGGAAGCTGTGGCCAAAACATATGCCATCAATACAAATATAAAGCATATTTGGTTGTTGTAGTTTTTATTGGTATATGAGGTAACTGCATATTACATGAAAAAAAAGCAAAACTAAACAAATTAAACAAATAAGTAAAAGAGACTAGATGGATTATATCGACATTCTGAAACAATCACATGTAATCACACTTTTTCTCAGATATGTTCTCACAAACGCCCTATGTTTGAAATACTATTTGTTCAAACCAATATTAATGCTTGGGTTGTAACTGACGTAGGTTAGAAACATTCACATATTCTTATCATACTAAATCAATATTGACGTGAGGAAAACATTGTGTATGACAATGTAGTACAAAGTAATATAAAATATACCGGACACCGCTTCCTAATTGGGAAACACTCTTTAACATTCAAACGTTCTACTAGTAGCAGACAGTGTAAAAATATCACGAGCCTCACAATTAACATACCAAACTCTGCATCCAGGGCATTCATTACTTAATAAATCCCATTAATAGTTTGTATGATTCAAAATTACTGAATATAAAAAATGAAATTCTAAGAAAATAACAATATTCCAAAGAAATCATATTCTTGTTTCATGGGAGTTATCTTTATCCAGTATGTATTTTTTTTTTTTTTTTGAACGAGAAGCAGCTGAGCTAGTGGTTTATGTCATTTAAATATATAGTTATGTACAATAGCAAACACACTCAGACACACATACATGTATATACACAAAAATATTAAGTGCTGAACATCAAAGTATATGTATAAGGTATATTAATTTAATAAGTGACATAAAAATAAAACCAATACCACCTTGATATTTGAACTAGTTTCTTTAACTATTTTTTATGGAAATGCCCGTTCACTTCTCCTTGTCATTTCTTACATAGATTCACTGCATGGTTATTATTTGGACAATTAGTTATGAATTATGACCTAACGGTCAACAACTTCACCTTTTTGAAAACCAAATAGTTCTAACCAAAACAGTTCGTCAGCTTGAAAGATAGACGAGTTACTGCCCTTGAGGTATTTTAAATTGCAGACGCTAGTGTTTTACTAGTGAGTTTTGACAATGATTATGTATAACATAATACAGAATAGATGAAGGATTGATATTTTGACATTGTACAAATACATTACAAAACACAAAAAAATGCTTGATGATAATAGAATCTATCCTAAGAATGTCTTGACAGCCGAGGTGACTTCTGACAAACACTTTGGACATTTTGTTTGCTCTTTGGAACAAATTCCACATGTGATTCTGTGTCCGCAAGGAATGAAAAGCATACATCGTTCTCTTTCTTTGCATCCAACACACACCAGCTTCTCTTTCAGGTATAAGTTCTCCATCTTCATCGCCTTGGGTGCTAAACGTAGAGTATAACAAAACGAATATAAGTCGGATATCGTGTAACATATATGTGAGATATATTACATTTTTAACCTGATAAATACAAGGTTTTACAGTGAAATAAGCTGATAGTTTTCTACTGTGACTAATATATGTTACACCCTATATGTGGTTAGTTTCGTCCTGACGTTTGTTACTGTGACGTCACAATATCACATTCTTTGTTTGCGGTAGATCATCCTCGATATCCAGGGGTTACGCTCACTTTCGCTCTCTTCACCCCTTGGGAATGTCATAGCAAAATCGAAGGCTCAATATGCAGCAACTTGTGGATGAGACGAGAAGACTAGTTTGGTCCGTTGATGTACATCAAAAGATTACGCGGTCGCGTAACGGTAACAAATGACAGGCTTTGAAGTCGGGCGTCGCTCCTTTGTAATCTTCAAAGGACAAGTATCAGCCTAGTGACTGGTCAGGTTTTTTAACCTGACACCAATCAAATAGCTAGTCGCGTGCCTTCATTTTTGCTATGACATATTCCAGGGGTGAAGAGAGAACGAAAATGAGCGTCAGCCCTGGATATCGAGGATGGCGGTAGATGGGTTTTTTAATCATACAAAACGTTGTACATGAAATATTCTTGGTTTTTTGATAAGTAGCAGTTATATTTCGCTCGAAGGTTGATTATATCTTAATTTTTTCACTCGCCCAGCCCACTCATAAAAATATATAAATAGGCATATGCAACCCGTAAGTGAAATATAAATGTTATTCGTCAAAAAACCAAAATAATCCTCTTAGTGCTGTTTAATGGCGTGAATTATATGGTACATGTATGTATACTGTTTTATCTGGATATTGTTTTATATCTTAAAAATAAACACAGGATATTATGTATACTTACTTAATTGGAATTCGTCTTCTTCTGCTATGACATCTATAGATAAAATAGATATAGATACAAAGGTTAAATTCAATAAAACAATTTCCTGATTATATTATCAGATCATGTTGGGTAAAAATTTCTCTATACTTTAACAACGATTTTAAAATATTTCGTTCAATAAATGCACAATTTGAAGAACGTATTAACTAAACGTATATTGTATTTATCTAGATAGTTTATTGACTGATACTTTAAGAAATGTTTTCTAATGTATCATTAATCTGAGGAAATTAGGAATCGTACCGGTGTCCTCAGAGAAGAATGCTCGCCCTTGTTCTTCTAACTCAAATATTCTTTCCACCAAATCTGCAGCACTGAAATCCCGATTTCCTATTAACATGAAAAATGGCATTAAAAAACTATTCTTTTCAAAACAGGCTTTCTATGATTGATTGGAAAGCACAGGCACGTGTGTACAATGGCAGACTATACAACTATCACAGATATACTGGTACTCTTCATTTGATTGTTCATTTTTTTCTGTCTTATTTTCCAATATTCTTTCTAATGAGTTAGCAACTTCATAATGTATAGTTTTGCTGTAGTAGAACGTAGGCACTACATTTGTATAAACAAATACACTTGAAATTAAAGGATTATATTTTTATTATTTTTATTTTTTACCATTTTTTAGATATGAGTTCTCCTTTATAACTAACCTGTTCGTTCAATGTATATCATAATGGCCTCCTTGACCGTCGCTTTACTATATCCAATGGACAGAGCACTTTCGGCCGCCGCAGAAAACATTGGATTCTTCAATTCTCGTTTTCTACATTCGTCCTCAAATGTTGGTGCAATAACTAAAATAAAATGTTTTTGAAATTATGGAAATGTCTATGCTATTTTGTTAACATATGATCAAGAGAAACCGCAATAACCATAATCCACATTATCCAGAAACCATTATAAGCCAGATATCGCTATCCGAATGAACCTGCGTAACCCCGACTCTGATTCCAAGCAAAATGTTTGATCCCTATTGTGTTCCGTTTAGACAGGTTCCGCTCTATCCAATAGCATACAATTGTATCACTTATGCCAAAAATACTGTTCCAGGAAAACAGCATTTGGATAAAGTTGTATGGAAATAGGGACATAGGCCCAATAAAACTTTACAAATAACACAAATACGGCGTCTAGTTACATGTACACTTATCAATATCCAAATACTCTATAAACCAATTTCCACTGACCATAATAAAACCAATCGCAAAAAGACATTCACTGACACTTGATGCGTATCGACCAATCAGTAAAGGTTTTACGAAACCTACCCGTTCTTTGTGCTACAGCTGGTGGAAGGTCGTTGTCATCTCCATCAGGAATATCCTGAAACAGATTTTAAAAGATATACTATACTAATGATAGAAGTAAGATATCTAAAATTAAACATTTCACATTTATTATTTGATAGCAAACAAGTGTTTTCATATGTGTAATATGATGCAAATTTAATGATGTTGCTTAGTTTAGAGTATGTGTCATCCATAATACCGGAATTGCATTACTCCGGACTAAGTGTATCTCATGTGCCTTGTACAATACCGGAATCTGTGGCTAGGTGCCATTTACAGTACCGGAATATCATAAATCTACCTAAGTGTGGTTAATGTGACATGTACACTACCAGAATCTCATAAATCCGGACTAAGTGTGGTTAAGGTGACATATACAATACCGGAATCTTATTTATCCGGACTAAGTGTGGCTTCAGCGCCATGTACAATATCAGAAATCTCATTAATCCGGACTAATTGTGGCTAAGATGTCATGTTAAGTACTGGAATCTCATTTATCCGGACTAAGTGTGGTTAATGTGACATGTAAATTATCGGAATCTCGTTAATCCGGACTAAATGTGCCTAAGTTGCCATATACAATACCGGAATATCATGTATCCGGACTAAGTGTAGCTTCGGCGCTATGTACAATATCAAAAATCCCATTAATCTGGACTAAGTGTGGCTTGGGTGCCATGTAAAGTACTGGCACCTCATTAATCCGAACTAAGTGTGGCTTAGATGTCATGTACAGTACTGGAATATCTATGGCATCATCAATACTGCAGGGACTACATGCAGTGCATATAAATATTCAAAACGTTGAAAGTTGTTAAACCGGAGTATATGTACAACGTTCATGAACACACATTGAAATTTGTATTTTACAATAACTGAAGCTCATTTAATTGGATCCCAACAGTACATCTTTTTTCCCTTTACGTTAAATTACTAAGAATTTCCCTGCTTCATTTCCGCAGATTATTACGTAGTTCTGTTTATATTTGTCCCATTTAGAATATCTAACTTCAAACGAGCTTTACCTCCGGAGCAGCGGAATCCTGAATGAATTGCAAGCCTTTGACCTTGATGACAAATTTACAGAAGGGAAACCACCTTGCGTGTTCTGTCCATGGGTCATCGTTTGGTTCCCACTCCCGGAGACCTCCGTCACAGTAGTGACATCGGACAGTGTCCGTCTCACCTGGTTAAGTAGTGGTCATTTCATTTATAACATCCAAGTAGGTACGTGCTTGACAAAAATATATGTAATATCAATGTCGCGGTATAATTATTTTTAATGAGGCATGGCAGGATATTATATCCAACTTGATATTATAAAATGAAAAATGTTTTGAGTAAACAACATTTATTATACGGCTATATAACAGAATATCGTGGACGTGTTACCAACACATGAATTCGGCTTATGACCCTTTGTTGTGTTCTCATGATAAAAATTTGCTTGTATTGTAGCGTAATAATATCATAAATAAATGATGTTATGTTGTCCAAAACTGTTACTCCCTGATCAAATATGAAAGTAAAAGATAATCAGATTAGGCAAGGAGTCATGAAAAAGTGTCTAAGAACAAACCTTTTATTGTTAATCTTAAAAAATTCATAATAGAAATATGTCTTTTTTTCTTTGTTAAATTTATTCATTACTTGAATAGTTCTACTTACAAGGCAGCCATTTATTTTCAATTTGGGTTATAAGATTTCCCGTGATACTCTGGAGTGTTCGAAAGCGCCCAATATCGAAGGACTGGGTTTGAGGTCAGTTGTGTATTGTTTACTAAAAAACTGATTTCAGCTAAATGTATAAATATTAGATAACATTTTAAAGAATAGGTTATGATTAGCACAATTAGGTCAGTCCATGTTATTATACCTGTGTAGAAAAATCCCGCTTCAGCTAACTGATATGGAGTCTGCAGAACAAAGTCACGAGGCCAGGAAGTCTCGTAAGACTTGTTCCTTTTACCAATGCTGCTCATGTGAGGATGTTTGGGTGTGTATATCTGAAATTTTAAACATTTTACTGGTAATGGTTCATTTATAGTATATCCCTATACACGAACATATTTTGCAGTGCTATAAACTCTAATATTGCATACAAATGCTCCTTGTTTGTACATTGTAGTTATATATTTAATTACATTTTGGATGATTTTTTGCACTGGTCAGTTCACTGGGTCAGTTCACTGGATTAAAAGAGATCTCAATTGTTATCATTAAAAGAAAAAGTTGAAAAAAAACAAAAACATATCATCTACTCAAAAGAATTCGCTGATTTACACACACCAACCAAGCATGCGAAAATACCTATTCCGTCGTTTCGTATTGCAGAGTTATCTACTCTTGTGAGCAGGTATTGATTATTACGTCATTTGTTTGTGAGAGTAACTTCATATTTTTTTGAGAAAACGACGTAATTTTCTCACACAAACTAATCACGTAACAATCAATACCTGCTACCAAGAGCAGATAACTCTGCAATACGGAAAGACGGAATATGATAATTCAACGATTAATTTGTACCCTTCTATTGTTTGGTCATGTTCAAATACCTTTGCCCACTGCAATTGTATGTTGTTGATGAACTGGTCATCTTTCCTGCTCCTTAGATAGGGACAATCCGGGCTATGACGCGCGTGCTCAACCCATGGGTCATCATCTGGGTTCCAATCAGCCAACCCTATATCACAATGAAAACAGCGGACTACGTCCTCCTCTCCTATTAAATGACAACGTTGGCAATTACACTTTATTTCGATTTAATTACATGTATAGTTGCTTTAAAGATTAACGTGATACCTTAAAGGAGACGATAGCTGGGACACATTTATTTTTAATTTTTAAATACGTGACTTATACATGTGATAATTGATAGGAAGACAAATAAGCTAATCATGGCCTCGTCAGCATGAGCATGACTCCTTCAAATATCACTTCAATACGAACAGAGGACGGTAGATAAAGATGTAAATATGCGGCGAACTGACCTTTACAGGCAAAACGATCTATCTTAACAAGAAACATCAAGTTATCATGACGAACTTACTGTGATTTTATACTCCTGTCGATATCTAGCAAAACTGAATCGGGGAATAAAAGAAAAGTTATCTGTCAGATAAATCTGAAGTACTATTCAACACAGTCAATACAATTTAAGGGTAGTAAGTTGGTACAATTCCTTATAAATTGTACCTTGACAATTCTTATCAAAACAAAAAACATAAACAAAAGACATTGGGTTCTAAGAACTTACCTGTGGAGAAGAATCCGCTGTCCACTAAGTTATCAATGTTTTCATGTGGTCTGATCCAGGTACGAAAGGAAAGTCGACGCGATTCTGGTGAGGCATACCGAAGATTGCGTGGTGTGTAAGTCAGACGGCCAATGCCACCGGAAGCTATTTCTAGGAGGTCAGCCTCGGAAGTGACGTCAGAATGAGCACTCTGGGTATTCTCCACAGCTTCGGTAAGACCTTCTGCTCGATCTAGTGAGTTGGGTCGTTGGTTTGCTGAGTTATCGTCAGCATCTTCTCCAGTAGCCAAGCGTTCGGAAGATACATACTGTATAGATTGTACATTCAAAGAAGTGACATGTTCCAGACTCTCTGATGTAGTACTGTCAGTACGACGTGTAGAATCATCTTCATCTATATCATCATTATGGTCACAATGTCGTTTTCTTTCTTTCTTATTTGCATCATTTTCTTCTCCTTTTGTCGATAAAGCATTAGCTATTGACGATTTACATTCTGGATAGTTCTCTGTATGCGAAGATGCAAAGTTATTTCCGTTAGATTCAGTTACATTTACAACTACCCCACATGAACGGCATTTCACATACAACCCGTCCTCATTGTCACGAGTAAATCCATGTACAGCCAATTCATATGCCGACGTGGACACCTCCAATGGCCATGTGAGAAATGAAAACAGTGATTCCGTGAAGGATGTATTACGCAAAATTTCTTGTCTGTCAGAAGTATGCTGAGCTATTGAAATGTAAGGAAGATGTCGCAGAAGATCACCTGCACGAGGTGATAGCTCAACTGGGTTGTAGTTACTTGGAGTTCCACTGAAGTCGTTGAGCGTCAAGCGTATCAAATAAGCCAGCACTTCTTCGTTGAATCCGACCCTTGGGTTTGCTTTCGATGTCTCGTTTGATTTTGATTCCTTTTCCGCGCGTGACAATAATCTGCAGTTGCCGACCTCAGAATAAATAAAACTCGTACAATTGAAATTGTTGGGACATTTTCGAAATATCACTTTCAATACCATTCTTGGTGTTGAACCTCTAATTTTTGATCCAGATGTTTGTTCAGAATGCTCCTGTATTATTTCTTCGTCTGACGTAAACAAATAGCTGTAATCAGAGTGTTTCAGCGCAACGGTAATATTGACAAACCCTACCAATTCCTGAGAAGTAATAACAACGTCACAGATTTGGACAAATACAGTTATGACGTAAGTACATGTAGAGTGTTTATGAGCCACTTTCTGTGCTTCAGCTTGAAGAGTATCTGATTTGTTGTCATGGGTCTCCGGATCCTGTTCTTCGCCGTTAAAGCTCACTAGTCTTTCTCTTAGATCCTTTAACATTTGAGACTCTGGGAAAGCATCATGGCCACCTTCAGTGGTGCTTTCTTTCAGCTGGACTTTGACGGATCTTCCCGATCGTTTATGTACTATAGTACTTGGACATATGTCACTACTGATGGATTGTTGACTGACAGAATATAATGTTAATGTATGTATTATGAGTCGTTCTAGAAAGGATTTTCTGAAATATTAAGAACAGAAAAGAAAATTATTCTAAATACAGAACTTAAATATTGTGAAGACATATCATGAATGATTGATGCCAACATTTATCTATTGAAACGATAGTATTTTTCAACAAAATTTAAGTAAATCAATATAAATGGTAAACAGGGGTTATCATTTGAAAAAGGTGAACGTCGGACAGGAACCATTTGTTAATAAAAATAATATCATATCCTGCTTAAACAGCATGTAAAATTTACTTAAACAGATAAAGAATTCTACCTCAGATATTGAGATATCTATTGGACTTTTTCTCCTGGTTTCTCGACCTCAGAACGACGGATGACATTATACAATGTCGAATTAAAGCTTGTGACGTTACCGTACAAAAGTTAGAGCGAAGAAGATCATGTAAACACCATTTATTACCGAGTATTAAACAACGCGTAGCCGATATCGACATCGATTTTGTGGACAACTCGTACACATTTTACACCTTTGTGTGCATACGCTTCACTTGTCATTTGTCTGATGAAGGTGACAGTGTACATATCGTACTAGTCATCGAAACGTCACATAGGAAATCGTATTGGTTGTGTAAAAAGAACTTTTCATAATCCATACTTACCAACCTGAGGAAAATGTTTAGAAATTCACACCATTTTGGTTCACATACCTTTTCTCAAACTGAGGTCTTGGCAAGACAGCTTCAAACACCGGTTCAGACATCCTCCCTGAAGAAATAAATGTACATTAAAGGAACGGTATAGTGAGTAAGTTCTTTTAATGACAAGAGATTATGTTTTCTTTGCGATCTTATCATCAATGATGAAATCCATAACTGTGCAACCGTACGTTTTAGTGGTGGATGTCCGTGAACTTATAACTAACAAATTTGTCTTTCCATCCGAGGAAAGAAGGTAAATTCTCGCTTTGTTCACTAACTTATTTAGAATACAAGCACAGACATTTATTCTAAATCAATATCATCTTTCAAACAACGTCTCAATCATCGTTATAAACGAGTGATTTATTTTACGTTTAACCTATACTGATATCGTACTTTATGCGATTTGAAATTCTCCCTGTGGTACCCTCTTGCGTGTATACTATATTTAAACCTGTTTCTTTTTATTCAATCCAACTGTAAACAGAATATATCATATGATTTAAAATTATGATACTTTTAATTCTTGCTTGCGATGTTTTGTGTAAATTCAAAGCTACAACTTGTAATGTGTTATGTGTGCATGAAAGGAAGAACTTGTTTCGTGTTGGGTCACCTTCTCAAACGATGTGTTACTGTACGTTGAAAAGTTGCCTTATAATGGATTTACTATTTTGTAATATTTCTAGAAGGAGGCACCTGTAAAATCAATACAAAAATATTGATAAAATCACATCACTGATCGTGAAGATCTTACAGTTGATACCAACTATAACAATTAAAATAATGAATTTCATATGTATTTCATTAAATGTTTATCGATCCCTAAAAGGAATCGTACACTGTATATACCAATTTAGTATATACTTATAAGTTTCACACTTATTTATCGTCAAAAGAGTCATGTTTTCTTAGATAAACATGCAGAACGAAACGTAAAAAGGACGTTTTCCTTTAAACAATTTTAAGGATGATACGATATTTCGGATTTTTGGATTAGCAAGCCAGGCGTAATTCAGCTCCTATAAATGCCAGTTATTTCCACCGACTGGTTTGTGAAAAGTGCAAGTGAACAAATAAAATCATAGCCACATTCCGAATTGTAAAGCAAAAAATGTTCATTGCGTGGTACATACAAAAAGTTTTCATTATAAACTTACGAATGTAAAAAACAAAATTCGTACCTGTTACCCCATATAGCGTTAGTCTAACGGAGAGAAAATTACCTTTCATTCTAATTCTATAAATTAACCTCTGGAAATTTCTGACCGAACACTTCAAATTCCTAAAACGTCACTTTCTGGAGATAAATTTCAACATTTAAGTATCTGATTTTCTACATTTTTTTATTTTTTTTTAATTATGTGCTACAATTATTGTCAAAAATAGTAAATATTTTCAGCATATGAAGTTTAAGCTTAAAACGTACACTATAAAAAATTAATTTGTTGGTTGATGTTTCCGGTATGAACATTGCCCGACCCCACCACATGTGTACAATAATGTACTTTGTCCTTTGTATAAATGTATCATAAGTATCGTTCCTTAAGTGTAACACGTATAGTCTAGTGATAGGACGCCGGTCTCGTGACCGAAGGGTTGCGTGTTCCAGTCACGGCACGGCACTGTGTTGTATCTTTGAGCAAGATATTTTACTCCGCTTGTTCAAGTCTACTCAGCTGTAAATGAGAACGATGTTGGGCAGTGCTAGAATTGTAGAATACTAGCTGTGAGCGCCGAAATGGCAGCACCGGCTGTATGCTCCCCAGGGAGTTGAGAACGATATTGGCTGGTTACAAAGGCCCTATAACCAAGGATAATAATTTGTGAACCGCTTTGAGACGACCTACGAACTAGGTTGTGATAAAGCGGTATATAAGAACCTCGAATTATTATTATTATTACACACTGAACCGTCATTCATCATAAGTTAAATATATTATTTATGTGTGTATAATGACCATGCAATAAAGAATATACATGTACATGTAACTTCCATTTGAATTACGGTTATTATCAGTGAAGTCTAAATCTTAGAAACGTTTTGGGAATTTTGACTCGTTTACAACGAGAACATTCTAAAATGTTAATATGTGTCACATGACATTCTATATCTCTTTATCTATAACGTAATACACTGTACCACGGACTAATCTAACAAAAACTTTCGAATATTGAAATAATTAAAGCCGAGACACTGTATTTTCTAATTACATATTGAATAAACTTAATATAAACACTAGATATGTTGTAGAGGTTTTTCGAAATATTTCCTGTCGGTTTAACACATCGTTTTGACGGTATACTATATGTAAGATCAATTTTTTAACGCCATGTTATTCAAGTAATCATTATCTACAATATATCAAATATAGACTGTCAGATCTACATATTAATAATCAGAATGTCATACGTTGTTTTACGTTATAAAACTCTTACCTTCCTTGCCCAAGTCCAGTGCTCTGATCTTTCCTGTTCTATTTATAGAACATACTGTAAAACCCTACTATTAATAGCGCCTGTTCTATTTATAGCTGAAATATAAATGTGTGGGTGTGGTTAGGTGTGTGTGTGTGCGTGTTTGCACATATGATAGGCCTTTCGACAGGACATTTTAAGAACAATATGTACTGACATGTATTTTCATGTTATTATGTATTTCCATTAAATCTTTTCGCTTTAAGAATGAAGCACTCTAGCAGTTTTGGCAGGAAATGCATAGACCATGCATGCATAAAGACAATTGTCGAGATACTTTAACATGTCGTTATCATTATGTACTACTAATGTTAAGTACTTCCTCTGTTACAAGATATCTATCACGATTTCGTAGTATTTAGATCTTGTTTAAATGTTAATCATCCACTACATTAATTTTACAACGTCGAATCAAAAACGTTTAGTTTTCTCTTTATATCTTTCAATTTCTGTGCATACTTTCTCCATTAAAATATTCCTGGCCTTCGATATCAGTATTTAACATAGCATTGGTTGCTTACAATGTGAAACAAATGCCTCGCTCCACTTTGCGTTGAAGATTTCGTACCGGAACAAGAAAATATATGTGGGGTGAAGAGGTTAATAATAAGCTAATTCCATATTGGCCCAGTTATTAGGTCGAGGTCTGTCATACTGGCCTAATACTGGGCCAATATGGAATTAGCTAATTATTAACCCTTTTATTAATTAACTATGTAGATCTATATAAAAACAATGAAACATGTTATTCTTACATATTTAATCAGAAAAAAAAACTTTTGTTTAATGTTTGTTAAACAATAACAAATTTTGATTGAACATTTGTCACATTTTCATCGTTGTTCTTATTGCGACGATTCAGGTTGGTGCACAAACTGATCATGGGGATCAGAACATCAAGCATCTAAGCCCCTGTTTTTGCGTGCCTGTCAGAGATCCGCTCCATTCTTGTCTGTTTATAGACATGTATGTATGTTGTCGTCTGCGCCAGGAACATATCGGGTTTTGCCGTAGGATGAGAAGTTACCTTTCGGTGAGTTACGAACGGTTTACCGGGCGCGTTGGAGTACGCGCGTTTTCTCGTATTGGCCGAGTTTGTCAAAAGTCGGCCAGTATTTTCCATAAAGGACGACTTTTTTCAATATTGGCCGACTTTATGTAACAATTCCGATATTTGCTGTGATTGTTGATTATATTGCACGGGCCGTTTATTACATATTACAGCAATATCTACATAGTTAATTAATAATCTATATATATTACTTTCGAGTGACATTTCCAGACTCATAGTAAGCTTGTCTAAACTATACGTACATTGTATTCGAAGGAATATCAGTGTACTTCGTCTTATTCTCAATTGGAATATTTCAAAGTGCGTCAACTTAAGATGGGTTATAAATGTTCCTCCTCGGGGCACTTTTAGGTAGCTTTATTCACTTGAACTTTTGGCAAATACATTGGTTAAATTCCTGTTAACAAAACTTTAGTAAACCTTATGAAAACTTCAATATCGTGTTTTTTTATCTCCTGCACTGGTCAGACCGATTGAACGACTGGACTTTCATTAAACATAGAGAAATTAACAATTGCATTAATAGCAAAATGGTGTTAGAAATGAAAACGTAACAAATTTGTGTCAGAAGTGTATGTGTCGTGTTAAACATGCTCTATGTTTGTAAGTGTCGTGT